CTGACCACATGCTTACTAGATCCATACCTGTCAGGCGGGGGTGCAGAGTCACCTCAGCCAGCAAGCCAACCACAGTGTCCAGGCCTTTACTGTCAGCAGACACAGCATACATGGTAGTATCTCTGGGAAGACAGCAATGTCAGGTTCTGGGGTCAGGCTCTCAAGCTTTCCTCATCAGCAGGGACTTTCCATCATTTGGTTAAAAACCAACAGAAACTTCCTTTTCCTCTTTTTATATGGTACAGGGGACTGAACCTGGGGCTTCGAGCAAGCGAGGCAAGCACTTGCTCCCAAGCTACACCCAGCCTTTTCTCTTCCCTCTCCCTAGGGCATGGAGTCCAAGCAAGAAGAGCCACAGCGGCAGGCAAGGGAAGCTCTTCAGTAAAGGACACTGTTGAATCAGATGGAGCCAATCCTACCAAGGTTTTTACAAGCCACATTGTCTTGAAAGGAGAAGCGCTTTATCCTATGCTTTCTAAGCCTTACTGAGCAATCCACTGGTCAACATGTGAACGTGCTTCAGCGTCAACAGCTTGGGGACTGAGCCTGTGTCCAGCTGGACTGTTACTCAGAACAAGGCCCCACACTGAGAAGTGGGCAGTCTGCAGCTCCACTGCCTAAGCTGGAGAGTGGGCTGCATCTGAGTCAGGAAAGGGGCCTGCCTGACCAAGAGAGGATTTACACAGGAAGAGTAGGAAGCTTGAGGCAAAGACATGGAGGACCTGAACACTAGGCTTCTTCCTTACTAACTGAATTCTTAGTGTTTGTCTTTTATGTAATTTTTTCACATTCAAGTTTAAATAATCAACCATTTTTAATAATCCATGATCTGTCTGCATCACCTCATATGGCCCAGAACTGTCTGAGCATGCTCCACAGCTGGCAGGCAAAGCCCAATCCTCCTGTCTCCACACCTGTTTTCCGGCTACACCACGAACACAGCGGGTGCCTCGGCTATGCTGAGCTGTGGCATGGCCCTACCTCATCCGTCTAAAAGACCCCTTCAAAAACAATCCCAACGCCTCCTTTCCCATGATTCTTTTCCCCATTCCAGACTGTGTCTGTCACTCTGGGACACCCACCACCCCAGCTCTTGTGCCCATGTGCTGTATGTAGCCCTCTGCTTTATTTGTAAGCATCCCGGGCACAGGGCTGCTCTGACAACAGCCAATACCCTCACTGAAGTGATGGGCAAGTGTTCTTCCAGGTACTGCTTCTCCATGTAAGACATGTCACCTGTGTTCTGCCCCCTTTCTTCACCCAACTCTGTGTCCTGGCCAGGGCTCCTTTCTCACCACTAATCTCCTTAGCCTCTCTGATGGGAGGGGCTCAGTGAGCCTCTGACCAAGGATGAGAAGCGCAGTTCCACATAGTCACAGAGTAAGTCTCCACATAAAAGACAGTACCTTGAGGTCTGGCAGTCACAGATACCCCCGTGCTTTTCCAAAGTAAGCAGAATTTCATCTTTGTTGTCAAATCGAGCAGTAGACTAGTAAAAGTAAATAAGAAAACTTAAAGAATCCAAATCCCAAAAACAAAATTTTCAAAAAAAAAAGTAATTTCATTTCCAAAACATACAAATTATCTTTTAAATCTTTTTGTTAGCATTAATTCACTAAGTCATTTATTAAAATAACTTTCCTAAAAAAAGAAAAACTGAAATACCCCTTCCTCAGCAGTCTCAAAAATTCCAAATTGAGTGCTTGAGGGCATAACTCAGTGGTAGAGCACCTGCCCAGCATGCATAATACCCTGGGTTTGATCCTCAGTACACGCCCGCACCCACACATGAAACACCAAATTGAACACTGACCGAAAATGCCAATTTTTCCAAAAAGTGAGCAATTCCGCTAAAATACTTCGCTTCATATCTTGATCCTGAATTAATAAGAACTGGTAACAAAAAGTAAATGGACAGGTTAAATCAGATACTCAAAATAGGAAATCTAAGCAAGACAAACTGTTCAAAGTTGAGACTATGATTTAAGTCAAAACTTCGTGAAGGTAATAAACATGCTCACCATCCTTACAGATAGACACAGTCACACTGTGAAATCCTACACTGAGATGAAAACTTACAAATCACAGAAAGGTCAAAGTTGGGGGGAGGACTATACCCTAAATGTTACCACCCAAAATGGACACTTGGCAGTCATATTTTGGTGAAGTTTTCAGGTTTGTAACATGCTTCCACTCTAAACATGACATGCTAATTACAACCAACAATCAACAAAAGCATGCCACATTAAAATACCAGGGAACACTTGCAGCACACCATAGTACTTACTTCCTACTGTACAAAACTGTCCAAACTTATTTTGAGATGCCACTTGAAGCCCATTATCCAGCCTGGTAACTTTGGTTTCAAATTTTTCCTGTCCATCGACTGTAGCAAATACAGGCTTGGGTACTCCAGGTAAGGGAGAAGACAGAGGGATGTTGGGATAGGCGCCTCCGCTACTAAACTGTCTGTGTGCAGAGGGTCCAAACCTAGAGGAAAAGCCCAGTTACAACAAACTCAAGGCGGTGCACTTGTGAAGACTGCTTCTGTGCAGTCATGTTCTGTCCACATTAAAAGTCAACATCTCCGTTTCTGAAGATTCATCAAATTATCTTTTAAATCTTTCGTTAGCATTAATTCACTAAGTTATTTACTAAAATAACTTTCCTAAAAAAAAAAGAAAAACTGAAATACCCCTTCCTCAGCAGTCTCAAAAATTCCAAATTCAGTGCACAAAAGAGTGATCGAGACCCTGGCTCAGTCACAGGGCCGGAGGCCGGGAGGCTGCGCTTTTCGGGTCTTCACGACTACCACCGGGAAACAGGCTTCCAACAGGAAGTCCCTTGAGCTGCAGCTAACCGGGACAGCCTCCTCTTAGTCTAACGGAAGCCGCGGCCCCTACCTGGCCCCGAAGGCCCTGGTAGCACCTACACGGGTTCCCCCTTGGGCTAGTTCCGGCTCGCCAAGCCCCTCCGGTCTTGGCGCCTGCTCACCACCCGCCAAGCCCCAGTTCTCTGTCCCCAAGCCTGCCCCGCGGCATGACGACTCCCCTCTTCGTCTTGCAGCTCAACGGTCACCGAGCGCTCCCTCCCGACCGCCGACGCTTCTGGGCTCAGCGACCGCCTCCGCCTGCCGCCCCGGCATGAACCGCGGGGGAGCCAGGCCCGGCCGCCCCGGACGACCGCGCGGCTCACCTGGACCGCGGGCCTCCGGCCCCGACGCCGCGCAGCAGCCGCGCAGCCACCAGCACCGTCGCCGCCATCGCGCCCCCGCGCTTCTGCCGTCACTTCCGCTTCCGGCACGCGCCCCGCCCACACGGGCCACGGCTTCTGCGCGCTTCCCGCGCGTGAGGCGGAAGCGGCGGCCAGAGAATGGGAGCGGCGGCAGCGACGCGGTGGCGGGCCGTGGGGTCGCGGCCCGGCTAGGCCGCCGCGGCGATGTCGGGCTACGCGCGCCGCCCGGGTGTGCCCCTGCTGTCCCGGGCCCGGAGCCTCGTCGTTCCCGACGGTGAGGGGCCGCCGCGGCCGCGGGGGGACGGGGCGGGGGCCGGGCCGGCCCGCGGTGAAGCCGCTCTCCTTGTCGCTTTCAGCTGCTGCGTTCTATGAGCGCCGGTCTTGTCTCCCCCAGCTAGACTGTGAGCGCCCCCATGGCGGGGACCTGCACCCGCACTTCTTCGGCATTCGGCCGACATTTATGTGCTATGTCCCCAGCCCGGTGCTGGCTTCCGTGGGAGACACAGGTGAGAGTCGGGGCGCCGGCTGCCCGAGCCGCAGACCCAGCAGGGAGCCCTGAGCGCGCACTGAGTGCCGCCCGGGAGTGCGCCCGCCGAGCTTACAGTCTGGTTTCGGGGAGCACCCGCCCCCAGCCTGACAGCCCCAGTGCAGGAAGGTCAGTGTGCAGTGGAGCAGGGAGATCACCCGACTTTCCCGGTGGGGGCGAGGACTGGGGCTCTTCCTTCAGTTGGGGAGTTGGAAGCGAGCTGGAGCACTTTCTCCTTGTGGTGGCTAGATCTAGTTCATCTTCATTCCATCCAGACAGTTGTGGTGCAGATGGTTATGTCAGGGTCCCAGTACTTTAGGGGCATCACAAGACAGGAGCTGCACCCAACCCAGATGGGCACCGGAATTCATAGGGAGTGCCTTCACAGTCCCAGGCTGCCAGACTGTATGGGAGCCAAGTCACCTGCCTGGGCCAGAGCCCTGGCGCCTTGTCCCCTGAGTTCCTTTGTTAGTGAGAACCACTGTTGATAGACTCCAGGCCCTTCCCTCCCCAAGCACATAAAGCTTCCTATAATCATGGTAGAGTGACAATGTCTTTTTGCAGATTTTGGCTATGGAAAAGGGAAATGTACTAAGCAAGGCCCAGCAGGAGCTCACGAGACCCATTTTGGAGGTAGAGTAGCTCAGTGATCCTTTCTTTTTCTTTCCGTCCACAACATAGTGCTAGGCACATGTCTGGCCACGGGTGATCAATATGACAGGATATAAGGGGTGTACCTGGAGCCCAAAAGAGCAGGTGGGGGTAGGATGCCATCTTGACCCTAGAGAAAGAGAGAGGGTGTGAGGGCAGGGAAACCTAAGACAGGATGTCAGGAAGATGGGGCAGTCCCACCCAGGAAGCACGAAGAGGCAGCAGGGCAGGGATTATAGGAACCCTATATATGAGATTGGCACCTGGAAGAGGTTCAGTTAACAGTGGGTTAGGTGTGGCAGTTAGGTGTGGGATAGTGGGGGACAGTGGGTACAGAGGTTGGAGGAAGGATTGAGGCAGAGCAGTTACCAAGTCTTGTAGCATATGAGCTTTGAAGCCCCACACCAGTGTCTGGTTGTGGAGTAGAGGCAGCCTGGCCCATCATAAAGATGCCCTGGGTGTAGCTCATTGACAGCACTTGCCTAGCATGTGTGAAACCCTGGGTTCAATCCCCAGTACCACCAGAAAAAAAGAAAAAAAAAAGAGATTCCCAAGGGGTTCCTGTGGGACTCCAGGAATGAGAAATGGAAAGAATTGAGATCTGTTTATTGATCCCTTTTCTGGCAGTTCTTGTTTACTGGTATCATCTGAGTCACAAGGTACAGAGGATGGCATTCTTGAGATGATGTGGTCATGCTTGGAAGAGAGGACTTGGAGGGTTCCCCTTTAACAGTCTCCCTGATGTCCATTCTTTCAGATGACAAACTGGAAGACCTTGAAGAGGCAAATCCATTCTCCTTTAAAGAGTTTCTGAAAACCAAGAACCTTGGTCTGACGAAAGATGACACGACCAATAGCAGAATTTATCCAAAGGTAAGTCTGGGGAGTTGCCCTGGTCACTTCAGAGGACGTCTCTCTATGTTGTGGTGCTTTGGACGAGACATGTGAGTATGTGGGGCAAAGTAAAGCTGCTCCTGCTGCTGCTGCTGCTGCTGCTGCTGCTGCTGCTGAGGAGGGGGCATCGTGGGTTTCATCAGCTGTTTGGCCCCTTTGGCAACAGATGGGCCTTTCTTGTCATGTTCCAGGCTGAGCATAGAGAAAGAAAGGTGAGCAGTGGCTTCCAGGTCTCAGTGTTTGCCTCTACTGTTTTTAGGAAGCCTCAAGGCACTCCTTGGGACTGGACCACAGCTCTCCCACCCCCCAGACTGTGGGGTATGGCCTGGAATATCAGCAGCCATTTTTTGAAGACCCCACAGGGGCTAGCGACATCGTGGATGAGGAGGAGGACGATGAAGACAGTGGGTGGAATGGGGCCTATTTACCATCTGCTGTGGAAAAGACTCACTCCTCCAGGGCCACGGCCAGCACATCACCCTGTGGCACATACCTTTCCTTTTTTTCCACCCCATCGGAGCTGGCGGGGCCCGAGTCTCTGCCCCCCTGGACACTGAGTGACACAGATTCACGCATCTCTCTGGCATCTCCAGCAGGGAGTCCTAGTGCAGAGTTTACAACTCACGGGGAGTCTCTGGGAGACAGACACCTGCGGACACTGCAGATAAGTTATGAAGCAGTAAGTGAGGGGCTGGCACACAAGCACAGTGTAAGGGTCTGAGCAGTGTTCTCCTGGAGGAGGACTGGGGCCCTTCTGCTTCTGGGTGGCCTAGCTCTGCCTTCAGGGACAAGACAGTTGGTCGTGTGACAGCCTGCTATAGAACTCCCCTGATGAGAGCCCTCCTCAAATGTGCTTCTGGTTACTAAGAGGTGTTGTGATGACTTAAGTGGTGCGGCCCATCTAGGAACAGACTGGAATGAAGGGCAGCTGGAATCCTTAGCTCAGGGACATCTTGCTGAGTGCTCTTAGTGAAGGGATTTTTAAAAATTATGATCACCTAAAAACATTAAAAGCTGGGGTAGAACTGGAGTCTGTGACAATAGGTCATCTATGTGAGCGTGCTGCAGAATGATTCCAGTTCCCTGGGGCAGTTCTATTTATCAAGAAATTCCAGGGCTGAGGGTGTGGCTCAGCATCTGGTATGGGCAGGGCCCTTGATTTGATCCCAGTATTATTTAGAAAAAAAAAAAAATTCTTCCAGAGCCCATTGCAGAAGCACATGCCCCTTTTGAGTGAGACACACTTAAGTTTCTAATAAGGATTTTCTTTTTCTACAGCTGAAAGATGAAAATTCTAAGCTAAGAAGAAAGCTGAATGAGGTTCAGAGCTTCTCTGAAACTCAAACAGAAATGTATGTAAGCTTTTAGTTAGGAGTCAACTTAAACATCTACCACGAAGGAAAATCACCATTTCTAAGTGATAATGAAATGCCCAGAGTTGAACTGTGTCTGGGTTTATTGTAAAACTTTAACATCAAGCACATTTCTTGTACTCTGTGAAAGCTTTGTCAGGGTGAGACCCAAACCAGCCCAGCTTCTCGCTGGATGGGCAGAGCTTGGAGCAGCTCCCCAAACCTGTGCAGATGCACTAGGTCACTGCTGCCTCACCTCTGTCTGAGGACATGTTCTAAACACAAGCTCCAAGTGGCTTTTATCCAGCTAATCACATTAAAGTGCTTTTCAAAGTGTTCTCAAAAGTGACCACATGAACTTAACAGCTCGGTTTTTTCCTCTGACAAGGGTAAGGACGCTTGAGCGGAAGCTAGAAGCAAAGATGATCAAGGAGGAGAGTGACTACCATGACCTGGAGTCAGTGGTCCAGCAGGTGGAGCAGAACCTGGAGCTGATGACGGTGCGGAAGGCTTCTGCCTGTGGGATGGGAGGAAGCTCCAGAGAAGGCCCAGCTGGACCTGAGGTCAGGCAGATGCCCTCACAGTATTGAGTGTGCAGCTCTCACTCAGGTGGACCAGTGTCCCTTGGCATTGTGCCATGCTCTACTGGGGAGCAGAAGCAGAGCACAGGTTTTATGGGGCCGGCCTCCACTGTCACTGGAGGCAGAAGGGCCAGGAAGGGTGACAGCAGCTCCCTCCTCCCTTTGTCAGACAAGTTTCTTGGGCTGACTATGTTATCAGTGATGCTTTTTGTGTTTATTTTTTGGGCAACAGAAACGGGCTGTAAAGGCAGAAAATCACGTCATAAAGCTGAAACAGGAAATAAACTTGCTCCAGGTAATTAAGGAAAAGATCTTAAGTGTTTTCCCCTTTCATTCGTGGAGTCACATGTGAGTGTGAGAAAGATATTGCAGGGCATGGTGGCAAATGCCTGTAGTCCCAGCTACTTTGGACCCTGAGGCAGGAGGATCGCAAGTTCAAGTCCAGCCTCATCAACTTGGCAAGTTTAAAGTTTAAAATTTTTTAAAAGAGGCTGGGGTGGTAGAGCGCTTGCCTAGCACATGTGAGGCACTGGGTTCGATCCTTTGCACCACATAAAAGATAAATAAATAAAACAAAGTTTAAAAAAAAAATTTTTTTTTAAGGGCTGGGCAGGTGACCCAGTGGTGGAGCATTTGCCTAACACGTGCAAGGTCCCTAATTCTATCCCTGGTACTGAAAAAAGTATGGGAGACCCTTTTCTGGGTTCACCCTATTCCCCCCAGCAGGCAATCTCAAAATCGGGTGGCACAGGCTTTCCACTAGGGCCTCAAATAAATGGAGGGCATGCTCCTCCTGGTCCCATTTTTCATGTTTTTAATAATTTGGCATCTAGGGTGGGGCGTGTACCTGTAAGAAGTCCCCATTTCTTAGGGCTAGATACTGAGCATATCCTGTAGTTAAGGGAGAAATGTTGGGGTTTGTCTCCCTTAGGAAATACCCTCAGCAAGGCAAAGCACCTGTTGGAATGAGTGGGCCAGGGCCCACGGATAAGTCCACACCTCTCCACCAAGGGTGACGTGTGTTTTCTGTTGGGCTGCCTTTAAGTAGTCTCCACTCAGCCATGAAAGTCCTTAGCAGACTTCCACCCTTTTTTCCCAGGCACAGGTCTCCAACTTCAAGCGCGAGAATGAAGCCCTGAGGTCAGGCCAGGGTGCCAGCCTGACGGTGGTAAAGCAAAATGCTGACGTGGCCTTACAGAATCTCCGTGTTGTCATGAACAGTGCACATGCCTCCATAAAGTAAGTGCTGTGGGCTGGAGGCCCTGAAACCAGTAAGGGGTGAGACTAGAATGGTCACTACCTGTTTGGGTAATGGCCCAGGCTCTTGGTCTGGGGCTGGACCAAGTTACTCCAGGGAGGGAGGTGTGTTAGGGGGACCCATTAAATCTCCAGGTCATCATATGGGTGGCTGAGCAGTCTTTTTAACCTGCTTTGGTGAAGCAGTCTCCACTTGGAAGGCACAAACATTGTCATGCAGACCCAAGTCCAGCTCCTTAATACTGAGGTTATGGATAAAGGATATAATAGATTTCCTCTTATTATAAAAACTGAATATAGCCAGGCGCAGTGGTGTACACCTGTAATCCCAGCAGCTTGGGAGGCGGAGGCAGGAGGATCGTGAGTTCAAAGCCAGCCTCAGCAAAAGCCGGGTGCTAAGCAACTCAGTAAGACCCTATCTCTAAAATACAAAATAGGGGTGAGATGTGGCACAGTGGTCAAGTGCCCCCCAAGTTCAATCCCTGGTACCAAAAAGAGAGGAAAAAAAATGCATTTGCAGGATTTGCAGAGGCACTAAATTGTTCTTGGTGCAGCAACCCTGCTGGGCAATGTCAGTTGCTGTCATTACTAATAATGATCACAGATGCTCCTTGGCTTACCACGGAACCACATCTCCGTAATCCCACCATTTTGTACATTGACAGTATTGTACATTGAAAATGCATTTAATACCCTTAATCTACCAAACACCAGAGCTTAGCAGCATAGCAGTGTGAAGTCCTGGGTAACTCCTAGGATTGTGTGTGCCTGATGCCTGCTGTTGCTATCCAGCATCCCAAGGGTAACGTGCCACATGTGGCTGATCTGGGAAAAGATCAAACTCCCAAGTTCAGTGCCTGTGAAATACACATAGCTTCCACACCTTCATAAAGTCAAACTATTATAAGTTGGGAACCAGCTGAACTTGTTTCTCACTGGGCTGATCTCTGCAAGATAGTAGTGGCACCGCACTAGAAGTGCTTACAGGCAATGAAGTCCATTCTCCTTTTGAGCAAAGCATCTCCTCAGTGGATCTGAGGGGGTTTTACTCTGGAACCTCTTTGCTTTAGTTCCACTATTGCTTTTTTGCATGTGTTCAGTTCTGGGGGGTTAACCCAGGAGCACTCTACTACAGCTATACCCCAAGCCCTTTTTTTTGGTACCAGGAATTGAACCCAGAGGTGCCTAACTACTGAGCCACATCCCTAGCCCTTTTTTGAGTCTTGCTAAATTGCCCAGGTTAACCTTGAATTTGTAATCCTGCCTCACCCTCCTGAGTTGCTGGGATTATAGATATGTACTATATGTGTGGCTAATTCATTGCTATTGATCAGTTGTAGTTAACAGTCCCCAATATATTTCCATTTCAGGCAGCTGGTTTCTGGAGCTGAAACATTGAATTTTGTGGCTGAAATCCTTAAATCTATAGACAGAATTTCCGAAATTAAAGATGAGGAGGAGAAGTCTTAAGGACCTCTGGATGCTTCCAGCTCCCAGCTCCGTGTGCCCTGATCAGCAGTGCTTCATCTGAATGTGCAATTGTGCCCCAAACTATGCAGTCTTCACTCAGAATGTTTATCATGAGATACTAATTTCATGACCTAAAACAGTGTTATTGGCCACCTGCAATAAGAGCAGCTCTTGTCCATGAGTTGCTTTTGTGGTTTATGTGCAGTCCTTCTTGGTGAAATTCTGTTTTGTAGATTCAGTAACCTGTTGGAAGAAATTTTTATAAAATCCAGTGAGTTTTTAAATTACTAAATATGAAAACAAAAGTTCTGTAATAAGTGCTCTTCCATTTTCATCCCAGAACATTGATAAGTTCAGTTGATTATCTTGATTACGTAAGTAGAACACTAAGAACCACCCAGGAATGAGCAGCTTGAACAGGGACATGTGCCTTTTTGCTGTCACTCAGCGCCTATCAGCCTTCCTGGGGTGGTTTCTGTGGTCAGTGGCCCAAGTACAGAGACACCACTTGGTGGACGCTGCTATTCCTCCTACAGGGACACAAGGTTGCAGACATTCCACACTGTGAAGGTGTCTAAACTTGGGCTTTGAGCCTTCAGCTTTGAAAAGCTATTTTGGCTGGTGATTTTGATACACATTTCAAGTGTGTTTTTACAGTGAAGCTTAAAGTTCGGTAGTCTAAAGCGTGTGCAGAGCCTCATTGGGTAGGCATGAGGTCTTTGGGCTCCTCATACCTGCTTTACTGTTTGGGAGGGCACAACAGGCACCCTGTGCCTTTTGGGCTGTTTTCCTGGAGATGCTATTTTTTACCTTCCTTTTCCCCTCTTGTTCAAACCTACAGGTTTCCTGTTTAAATAAATTCTGAAGTTCACATACACTGTGTTTTCATTCTGACTTGACCAATTCTTTTTTTTTTTTTTTTTAATACCTTCATTTTGTTTGTTTAGTTTTTTTGTGTGGTGCTGGGGAACGAACCCAGTGCCTCACACATGCGAGGCAAGTGCCTTACCACTGAGCCACAACCCCAGCCCTTGACCAATTCTTCATGCACAAAAACCACACTGGCTGTCCTCTGATGCTACAGCATGTTTTGCATGTTCTGGTCATTGCTTATGACTTAATAAGCTGGCAGCTCTCCACCCCTCCCCTAGCACATTGTAGGCATGGTATGTGAGCCACATAGCTGTACATTTTGAGGTTGGACAGATAAGATTCTAGCACTGAGTCATTCTTAAGAGCTCATGTGGCTGGATTTTCAGACAAGGCATTGAAAGTGCTAGTCACTGTGGAGTGTCCAACAGCCTGCTCTTCCACCCCTCATTGCTGCTGCCATTGGTGTACAGGGGTCAGAGGGACCAGACAGGGCAGTGTAGCAGGACAATGCTAGAAGGTTCTCCTAGGTGCACAGTACCTCTGGGAAGCCTCTGAAGGGCTGGGGCTCCCGGGGGGAATCCTGAGTCACAGATCCACCTTGAGGCCCTGCATGACAGTATTTTATGGGGTGGAGGGACAGGCTGATGTCCCCTTCACCCACTGGACCCAAAGCAGGGTGGCAGCCCTCAGTTAATGCACCTAACACTTGCTGCAATGTCAGCGGGTGAGATGGGGGTGGATACACAGAAGTTTGCATATTTTTCCCTAGGTATGTTTAAAGTGTTCCAAGGCAAAATCTCTGAAGCACAATCTATGGTGCTGTTTAATCTGTGCCTCTGGGTTTTGAGCTCTACACAAGCAAGACCTGGTACAGTGCAGGCGATAAAATAGCTCTTACCCAAAGAACCAACAGCTTCCTGCTTCCGACATTCACACTCTCCCGCCAGTCCCAGGCTCCTGGGGGGCCCTCACCAGGCCTCACCTTTTGGTGGCTCTAGCTCTTTGACACCAAAAGCCCACCTCATTTCACCCGACAGGCTCCCGCCCCCGACCCGGTACAGTTCTCCAGCCGGCTCATCTTCCATGCATCAGGTCCTGAAAAGAGGCCCGACCCCGCTCTGGCAGCGCTGGGGTGTCCTCAGTCCACGCTGGCAAGCTCAAAGGCACGAACCGCCGGCCCGGCGGCTCTGCAGGCTGGACGTCCGGAAGCACAAAGGTGTGCACACGTAAAGAGGGACTCGGGCCGGCGGGAAGCCCTCCCTCCGGCCGTCACGCAAACCCGACGGGCTACCAGGAGCGAGCTCAGCGGGGTACTGCGCACCCCACACTTCCGCCAATCGGCCGCGGCCTTCCCGTGGTGCTCCGCGCCGCCGGGGCGGGACTTCCGGTGCGCGGCGCTCCACTTCCGCGACCGTAGGAAGCTCGGTGTCTTCGGTCGCTTGGGAGACCGTGCGGCCGTGAAGGCAGGTGAGGCGCAAGCAAGGGGAGGGCGGGCGGCGGGGTCGGGGCCACCCGGCGGAAGTCGCGCTGTCTTCAGGAGAGGACGGCCGAGTCCAGGAGGGGGCGGGGCGGCCCGGCGAGGCCGCGTGGGCGCCGAGCGCGCGTCGGCCCGGGACCGGCTGGCCTCCCCGGCCCCTCGCCCCGGCGCAGGGCCGAAGTGTCTCCGAGCCCGTGCTTCTGCGGCTTCCTGGGGTTTATCAGTCCCGCCCCAAGGGGACTCGTGGCCCCGGGGAGCAGCTGGGGCTGAGTGGGCTGTCCAGTGCCCGCCGTCTTCTGGGGAGTCTGTGAGGTTCTGCGCTTTGAAGGGAGAGAGGACCAGACAGCAGGGAAGGCCGGTGGCTCCTGACGCAGGAACTTGTGGCCTCGACCTCCTTTCTGCTCGGCCTGAGCAGCGTGGGAGCGAGCGGGATGAGAAGTGGCGCTCTCTGTGCAGCACAAGTTGCCTTTCCCTTTAGGGCCGGGCTTCCAGAAGAACACTGCCTGGCCAGTGTGTGCTGCAGATCTGGTTGGCTTCTCGCTGAGTTGAATTCCAGGTTTAAACGAGGTGCCTTAGCAGGAGCGATTCAGCCAAAGGGCCCCCACTGGCACATACTCTCTTTTACTGCAGGGCAGGACCCCGTCAGTTCTCATCAGGGAGAAGCCATGCCAAGGGCTGGGAAGGTTTTTCTCTTTGTTTTTGATTCTGGGTGTGTGCTTATGTTTTCTAGAATATTCTCTGCCAATGTTTTATTCTCCCACCCTTCTCTCTTCCCAGCTTCCTTCTCCCTCCAGACTTTACTCACCAGTGTTCCCTGCACAGAAAAAGTTCCCTGTGCTTCAGCAGATAACTGGTTCAGTGTCAACACTATCACCTGCTATTCCAAGGCTGGAGATAGGGCAGGAAATGGGCAAAGCCTTGCCTCTGGGAGCCTGCTTTCCGGGCCTGTTAATGGCAGTAGCCTAGTTCACCTTGTTTCAGTGACCATTTGTTTAGTGCCTTATGTGCCCAGCCCTGCAGCTCTGGTCATAGGTTCATATTTCACGGGAGCTGAGCATCTGGTCTTAGGCTGCTGGTGACATGGCCCTGCACTTTCTATACTAGGTGACCATTTTCCTTATGGTTGGACCTAGGAGCAGAAACCATGCAGGTAGTCTGTCCATCCACTGCTGGTACTGCTTCTAGCCTTAGCTGGCAGGGGGACATTGATAGGATGTTGGCCCCTGATAGAGCAAAGAGCAGGAGTTCTTGGGGATGCAGAAGGTTGCAGCTCTGGGGTTCCCTAGGCTGGGCCTTCCCTCTGGGGAATCCAGGGCAGGATTCTGCCATCCCCAGTAAGTATGTGTCTGAAGAAGGATGGGTCCTGGCACTTTGATGGTTGTTTGGGGGTTTGGTGTTTTTTTTTTTTTTTGGTACCATGGATTTAACTCAGGGGCACTTAACCACTGAGACATATCTCTAGCCCCTGCCCCCCCCCCACCTTTGTGTGTGTGTATTTTACTTAGATACAGGGTCTCATTGAGTTGCTTAGTGCCTCACTAAGTTGCTGAGGCTGGCTTTGAACTTGTGATCTTCCTGATTCAGCTTCCTGAGCCGCTGGGATTACAAGTGTTGTTGGTTTTTAACACCTCATAATGTATTGTGGAGCAGGCAGAAGTCATGGATGTAGATGCTGAAAGGGAGAAAATAACAAAGGAGATAAAGGAGCTGGAAAGGATTTTGGATCCCAGCTCCTCCAACATCCATGTGGAGGTTTCAGAATCAAGTCTTGATTCGGATTCCGATGCAGGTAAGCCTAGCCATCCTAGAGTGTGGCTGAAAGCGTGTGCACCCTCCGGGTTCTTTTCAGCCTCATGCTGCATAACCAGGTCCTATTTCCTGCCCAAAATAGCCTCTGCCTTTTCCCCAGCCAGAGAGTTAATCCCAGTCCTTTGTTGCTAACTAGCCCATGGGCCTGCTGGTACCCCATCTTTGCTGCCCTCTGGCCTTGGGCTCTAGGGCCCTCTGGGTAAGCATGCTGTCCTGAGAAGAGAGGGTGGGCCCAGAGCTGACTGTTGCACAGACATCCAGGATCTCTTCTATGGGCTCTCCCACAGTCCTCTAGAGGGACCACTTTCCGTTCCCATCATTTCCATCATCACCCTCCAGTACAGTGTATTTGTTTCCAACAGATTCACTGCCCAGTGAAGACTTGGAAGCTGTTGAGCCCCCAATCCTGGTAATTGCTACTTGCCCTTTTTTTTTTTTTTTTGCATTGTAAAATTAGTGCATGTTATGAAAACAAAACATCAGAGAGTATTTGTTGTTAAAATTAAAAATTGTCCCCAGAAACAGCCACTGTTAAAAGCTTAGTGGCTGTGCCTTCAGCCTTTTTCCTGAGCTGCTGGGATTACAAGCGTTGTTGGTTTTTAATACCTCATAATGTATTGTGGAGCAGGCAGAAGTCATAGATATAGACGCTGAAAGGGAGAAAATAACAAAGGAGATAAAATGCTAACTTTGTTTCTCCACATCATGCACCTGACTGCCTCCTCAGTTTGTCTGCTTTGTCTTAGTTTACCAATCTGAATAATGGGGTTGCTTGAGCAAAGATGAGCATCTAGAACAGCGCCTAGTAAACACCTAGGTTTGTCAGTTGTTATTAATCATTTTGTGTTTATTTTGAGTTTTACTTTAGGAAATTATTGCAATTTGCTTATTTTCTCAGGTTCATAGGTAAAGTCCTCTTGTATGTTTGAGGGCTGTATTGGCCCTCCTCAGGCAGAGGACACAGTCCTGAGGGCTTTGGACCGTCGCCCTCTGGTGGGTGCATTGGTGTCTCCAGCTCTGGGCTGTGATGCTCTGCAGACAATTTCCTCCTCATAACCTGTAGCAGGTGGTACAGAGAGAGAAGCAACATGAGCTAGCGTGAAGTTCAGTGTTCACAGGAACCTTTCTTTTAGTAATTGGAAGCTACTTATTTTCTCACACTGGCCCTACTTCAAACAATTGGATCTCCCTTTGTTGTGGATCAGGAATAGTGGTTGGGGACTCCCACAGACATGCCCTGCCACTCACCTGAGTCACCTCTTGGGTCCACATTTGGTGCTGTTGCACTGGAGTTGTCTCCATGTCCCAGGTGTCCAGTAGCTGGAATGTGGGTTTGTGTCCAGGGCTGTGGGGAGGGGAAATACCCCTATATCCTATTTCTTCATTTCCTGTTTCTGGCTCCTAACTAGGAAGAAGAAAGGTGGGGTGAGGCCAGCAATGATGAGGAAGACCCCAAGGATAAAACCCTCCCTGAAGACCCTGAAACTTGTTTACAGCTGAACATGGTCTATCAGGAGGTCATCCAAGAGAAGCTGGCAGAGGTCAGCTTGCTTTTGGCCCAGAACAGGGAGCAACAGGTAGGGTTGCCCATGCATGCTGACCCCCCTGATCCTGAGAGTCTGCACAACGATGCTCCTAGGACAGGGTTTTGGTTGGTCTGCTCCCCAGCCACCTCCCCTGTTTGTCCCCAAATGGCCTGCAGTTGGCCTTGTTTATGTTCCAGGAGGAGATCCTATGGGATCTGGCTGGGTCCAGAGGCCCCAGGGTGAAGGACGGCAAGAGTCTACCCCCAAACATGTACATCGGTCACTTCATGAAACCGTACTTCAAAGACAGGGTCACTGGAGTGGTGAGTGAGTGAGGCCCTGCTTCTTGTTGGCAGGGCTCAGCACCTTATGGGGAGGGGCTCTCATCTCCACAGTCTGCTGTGAGTGGTCTTAAGTTCCCTTTGGCCCTTCAGGATGACGTGATCCAACTTCCTCAAAACTTTGCTTTATCTTATGAAAGTCAAGGTCTCCTTCTTGAGTAGGCAAACCATCAGGGGCCTATTTCCCTGAGGTGGCACCATGGGCAATTAGGAAGTCTTCCATGTGGAGGTCCCAGTGTTGCTCTTAGCAGGCCTGGGCTCCTTGTCAGCCCTCATGGAGTCACTGAGTCCCCCGCTGTGCCAGTTGGCTCATACCCAGCTGTCGGCTCTGGCTGCAGAGGTCTAGTGTCTGGTCTACATGTGAGCAGGCACATGAGCAGGCTGGGAGGAAATGGCTTGAGTCCCAGCCTGGGCCCTGGAGGTGCGTGCTAGACCCTGCAGGTGAATGCAGCCTGGTCTGCCACATGGTGACACCATGCGCTCTGACAGGGGCCTCCTGCCAATGAAGAGACACGAGAGAAGGCTGCTCAGGGAATCAAGGCTTTCGAGGAGCTCCTGGTGACCAAGTGTAAGAGCCCAGCCCAGCCAGTCCTCTGAGTGTGGGGACCCAGGAGGCCTTTCCCATGGCCCTGCCTCTCCTAGGCCTATTTGTCCTGTGGCCTTATGTGCTCCCTCAGGCTTTGATCACTGGGACTGGCCACTTGACCTCTTGCCTTTCTCTTGCTGGGTGGGTTCTTTTCAAAAAAAACCTGTCACAGGGGCAGATGGGGACCACCCCAAACCCCACTAAATCTGCCCTGGCTGGGAATGGTCAGCCCTGTCAGACCCTGCTGTGAACTTGGGGTAGGGCTCAGGTGAGGTCCTTTGCTAGACAAGAGGGGCCGGCATCTGGGTTGCATCTCACTGCCTAACTGGCATCCACAGAACCTCAGCACAGCTTCCTCCTCTGGAGGTGGGACCCGTAGTGATGCCCAGGGTTGCATTGGGTCCTGGGGAGTGTGGAGACTGCTATGGTGTTGCTCCTCTGCAGGGAAGCACTGGGAGAAAGCTTTGCTCCGAAAGTCAGTGGTGAGTGACCGCCTACAGCGCCTGCTTCAGCCCAAGTTACTGAAGTAAGTGGGAAAGGCATAGGTCAGCACAGCTTTTCTTGCAGTGGGAAACCTGGGTAGCCATATGGGCTCGGCAAGGTCCAGCATGCATGTTTCCTCACTCTGCCACAGCCCTACCATCCCCAGAGAGATGCTGGTGCTTGAGCTTTACCCTCCTCTGGAGGAGGTAGCCACAGACATTGCTGGCTCAGGCAGTTTCTTCTCTGGGCCTCTGTTTCCCTCATGCATGAAGCCTGCTCTCTAGGTCTGCTGGTGGGAGTGTCACATGGCCACAGGGTATCACAAAGTGCCACCTGGCTGTGCATGCTCAAAGGGTGCTGCTGCTTTGATAATTAGGTTGGAGGTACAAGTTCCTGCCAGAGCTGGGGCACCAGCAGATCCTCAGGCAGTGCCAGAGGAGGAATCACAGGATCTGATCTGGACTGACGGTCCCTTAGCCCCAGGTTCCCAGTGCCTGTGTACACCTATTGCATGGAGGAGGGAGGATGGTGTCTTTTTGATGGAGCAGATGGCATTTGGCACCAGGAGCCCTGGGCCAGACCAGGGGTTTCCGAGTGTTCACCAGCCCCCTCATGGATTGTATATGGTGAGGGTTTGTGGCAGCAACACACATCAAGTCCTTCTTGAGGCTGTGAGATAGCCAGTTCTTCCCTTCCTGGCCTGAATCAGGATGTCTCCAGCTGTCTGCATCTTGTGCACCCAGGTTTGCATGGTCGTCCAGGCTCTGAGGCACTGGCAGCAGGTAGCTACCACCTGTTTCCACAAACACATGGCAGCTCTTGCCCTGGACGATACTGTTCTGACTGTAGGCACACCCCAGAGGGGGTGCAAAGCTGAGGCAGGAGAAAGGGCACTTCGAGAGCCAGTCCCTGGCCCCCAGGAGCATGGCACCATCCACAGCCTGCTTCCATTTTGCCTTTCAGGCTCGAGTACTTGCGCCAGAAGCAGAGCCGGGTCTCCAGTGAGTCAGAGCAGCAGGCCCTGGAGAAGCAGGTTAGGGAGGCAGAGAAGGAGATCCAGGACATCAAGTGAGCCAGGGCCTTCCAGGGCTCCGGGGAGAACCAGCAGGCCAGGTATGAACCTAACACCCTGTCCCTCCTTCAGCCAGCTTCCAGAGGAGGCCTTGCTGGGGAACAGGCTGGACAACCACGATTGGGAGAAGATTTCCAATATCCATGTGAGTTGGACTCTGGCAGCTGGATGTGGGTCACATTTAGGTAGGCAGGCCACACTTTCCCTGGCCTCTTATCCCCTCAAGTCAAAGGCACATCTAGCAGTTGAGAGGAGCAAGCAGCTTCGTAGGCCCCTCGCCACTGGTGTGAGGCAGCTCTTCTGAAGTGGAAGTTTCTAAGGTTCCCAGCTTTGCATGTGAACCTGTCTCTGCTTTTTCGCTGGGCAAGGCCTTGTGAGCTGGATAGATTCCACTTATTTCTGCCCACAGGAGTGGCTGACAGGCAGAGTAACAGCTCAGTCCAGTGCTGTGTCTGAGTGTGCTTGGAGTTGGTAACCCCAATAGACTCTTCCTTGTTGGCACAGTTTGAAGGAGGCCGCAGTGCAGAGGAGATCCGGAAGTTTTGGCAGAGCTCTGAGCATCCAAGCATCAACAAGCAGGAGTGGAGTGTCGAGGAGGTGGAGCAGCTGAGGGCCATCGCAGCTACGCATGGCCACCTGGAGTGGCACTTAGTTGCAGAGGAGCTGGGGGTAAGGAGCAAGACATGAATTCATTCCCACACCACGGCCCGATTGGCCTCCAAGGGCCTCAGTGCTCGGATCCTGCTGCAGGCCCTGACTGCAATCTCTGCCGCAGTGAGCAGCTGTGCTCCAGGCTTTCTCCTCCGTCAGCCTTCTGTGAAGCTTATTTTGTTGGTATTTTCTAGTTTCTTTTGAGTTCTTAGACTGTTTTTCTGCTCTCCCAGGTGAGGTAGACAGCTGAAGAAAGGCCACAGTTCTGAGAGCAGCCTGGTGCAGAATGTCCTTTTTGTGGATTTCTAGAGAATCTTTAGTTTCAGTTCTTGTTGTTTCTTGGAACCCAGGTTTTTCTAGACTTTGGTTTTTCATTTTTAAATAGGTCTCTGAAGTCCTCGCTGTGCTTGTTGTTCCGGTTATGTTTTTTGTTTATGATCCAGTAATGTGCTCTGAAAAATCTTATTTTTAAAAGTTATCACTTTTTTAAAAGATATTTTTGGTTGTAGATGAACACAATTTCATTTCATTTGTTTCTTTGTTTGTTTTTATGTGGTGCTGAGGATGGAACCAGTGCCTCACATGTGTGCAGCAGGTGCTCTGCCGCTGAGCCCCAGCTCTAGTGATCCCTTCTTATGGCAGAGCACATGGCTGTCACAGATAGCTAGACTTGCCAAAACCTGTGTGTTTGTGTGAGAGAGAAAGTGAGCCATACCCTAGCCCTGCTGTCCACCTGCAGTCTTCCTTCCTCAGCCTCCTGAGTAGCCAGGATTTATAGGTGTGCACCACTGTGCCTGCCCAAAATGTTTACAAATTAAAAACATTTCTTGAATTGGGCACAATGGCTCATGCCTATAATCCCAGTGACTCAGGAGGCTGAGCAGGAAGATCACAATTTCAAGGCCAGCCTCAGCACCTTAGTGAGACCCTGTCTCAATTTAAAGAAGCAGAGTGGTGTGTGTGGGGGTGCTGAGATGTAGCTCATTTGTAGAGCACCTCTGAGTTTGATCCCCAGTACTCCTCCCACAAAACAAAACAACAACAACAAAAAAAAAAAACGCATTTTCCACTCTGAGGGCCAGTCAGGCAAGTTTGGGACTGAGTGTCTTACTTTCAGACAGCTGAAGAAAGGGCACAGTCTTGCCTTGGTCAGTGTGTACCCATGCACACAGCAGACCAGGTTTGGGAGGACAGTATTAGCAAGGCCCACATCAAGAGGTTGGCTGTGCAGCAACCCAGCACAGAGGCATGCCAGCACTGCAGCGAGGGCACCTCTGGGCTCACGCCTCACAGCAGCCTCAGAAGTGTTTGAGAGGAAAGCTCGGAAGCAGACCTCAGGGCTAAGCACTGCCATCCAGCCCCAGGAGTCCTCTGCTCAAGAGCTTGCTTTGAAGAAGAGGGTTCATGTTATGGGAACCTGTCCATAGAAGGCCAGTTTCCCACCAGGAGATAAGCATCAGTTGTGTAGCTAAGGGTTTGTTTGCCGGATTCTCCCTCTTGGTGTCTGGAGCTGTGGATGCCACACCAAGCACCATCCCAGCAGTGCCCATCTTGGAAATCAAGAGCTAGAGGGTACCAGCAACAGGCTTATAGATCTGTGAGGCACAGGGTAGCTCTACTCCTTCCAAGCTGGGTGCTCCCTTCCATCAAGTGTGGGAGTTGACAGGGTGGTTTAGGTATTGTTTGAAGTAGCCATTGACTCAGTATAAATGGTGGAGCCCTCTTCCAGGAGGCTGATGTTTTCCTGGTCCTGGGTAGCGGGTCTGGTGTCGCTACCTAGGAGCTACCTGTAGGAGCTAGAAGAGGAGAATGCTGGTTCACAGAAGCACGTGCCCCATGGCACTCTGGACATCCTTTCATGTGCAGGGCAAAGCCCAGTAACACCTCTGTGCTTTGTTTGGCTTTGGGAAGACCAGCCGCAGCGCCTTCCAGTGCCTGCAGAAATTCCAGGAGCACAACAAAGCCCTGAAGCGCAAGGAGTGGACAGAGGAGGAGGACCGCATGCTCACCCAGCTGGTGCAGGAGATGCGTGTTGGGAGCCACATTCCCTATCGCAGAAGTGAGTGTGCCATATGCCCTAATAGTCTGAGGCCCCACGTAGGCAGGAAAGGGACTTGCTGGGGCAGTTCACCTCTGTGCTTGTGAGAGTTTGGAGGGAAAACAATGGTTGGTCGCCCCAAGTACTGCACAACAGGATCCTTAAGGGTCAGAGTGACTTCTGTGTGCCCATTTGGATGCCAGGCCTCTCAGCCCCACAAACCCTCTATCCATAGTTGTCTACTACATGGAGGGCAGAGACTCCATGCAGCTGATTTATCGGTGGACCAAGAGCTTGGATCCCAGCCTGAAAAAGGGGTTCTGGGCCCCAGAGGAAGATGCTGTAAGTTTGTGAGCCTGAGGAAAGTTGTCTTCAGCGGAGTTCCCCTGGCTCTCCTGAGTGGCCGCTATGCTTGGCATTCGCATCTGAGCCTGACAGGCTCTGGATAGTCAGGTTACAGCTGTAACCAGAAGGTATCATTTGTCTGCCTTTCCCTTCCTATAGAAATTGCTTCAAGCTGTTGCCAAATATGGGGAGCAGGATTGGTTTAAAATCCGGGAAGAGGTGCCAGGTAGGAGCGATGCCCAGTGCAGAGATCGGTGAGTTGCATAGCACCCAGGTGAGGAAGGGCTTGTTTGGGTCACTCTCCTTAGGCTACAGGGCAGGCCAGATGGCTGACCCAGGAATGCTATGCTGTCAATGAGGAGGGTGTGGCCTAAGAATCTCTGCATACCAGAATAAGCTTTGCTTTTTTTTTTTTTTGTGCTGGGGCTCTCTCACTGAGCAACACCCTCAGCCCTTTTTGTTTTTTATTTTGAGACAGGGTCTCACTAAATTGCTGAGGCAGGTCTCAAATTTGCAATTCTCCTGCCTCCACTGCCTGAGTCACTGGGATTATAGGTGTGCCCTGGCATGGATAAAATATTTTTTTACAACCCAGACTTAGAAGACATTTGTACTACTAGTCAACCAGGAGTACGATGCTGGCTTCACTTGGCAGCTCCTGGTTGGTAGATCTCCTGCCCCAGAAAGCAGGTGGGCGAGGCTCCAGGCAGCTACTGCAGCCTGCTCCTTTCTTCCCTCATCTGTTTAGTAGCTCATTGAGATGCAGTTCCCGAACCTCACAACTCACTCTTTTGAAGTGTGGAGGCTAGCAGTCTTTATTGTACTCATTGAGCTATGTGGCACCACCACAGGACTTTTGACAGTCTCATCACTCCAGCAACCTCAGTGACAACACTGAGCCTGGGTCAGAAACAGGCACAGCTCCAAAGAATGCACACAGGTGGCCAATAAACACATGAAAAGAAGCCATCATCACTATTCATTACCAAAGCAGTCAGCACCATAATGAGATACCACTTCACACCCAGTAGGGTGAACGTTATTTTTTATTTTTTTTTAAAGAAAGGTGGGTGTGGTGACATTCAACCTGTAATCCTAGCTAGTAGGGAGACTGAGGTAGGAGGACGGTGAGTTAAGGCAAGCCTCAGCAACTTAGCAACTACCGTGTCTCAAAATAAAAAATTTAAAAAGGGCTGAGGATTAGTTCAGTGATAGAGCACCCATGAGTTCAATCCTCAGTACTGCTAAGAAGAAAAGGGGGAAAAAAAAAAAGTACTGGTGAAGATGCAGAAGAGTTGGAGCCCTTGGGTCTGGTGGGGACTTGGGGTGGTGCAAAACCCGGCAGCTCCTCCATGGTGAGCAGGGTTCTACCCTGTTCAGTCAGCTTTTTTGCTGTAGTGACTAAAAAACCCAATCAGAACAATTCTAGGGGAAAACAAGTTTATTTGGGGGCTCACAGTTTCAGAGGTCTCTGTCCGTAGAAAGCTTGCTCCATTCCTCAGGGCTCTAGGTAAGGCAGAACATTGTGACAGAAGAGTACAGTGGAGGAAGGTGGCTCATGTGATGACCAGACAGCAGAAACTCCACTCACCAGATACAAAATAGATACCCACCCCAAAGGCCACGCTCCCAGGGACCCACCTCCCGCAGCCCCACCTATCCACCTCCAGCCCCCACTCAGTTAATCCCAACAGGGATTGATTCAGTGATTGGGTTAAGACTCATAACCGAATCATTTCCTTCTAAACCCTTTTAAACCTTGCATTGTCTCACACATAAGCTTTTGGGGAACACCTCACATCCAAACCATAACATACCCAAACTAATCAATAGATACAAAACCCGAAACAATTGGAAGCAGGAATTCATATACTTTGACAGCTGTATTTGAAGAAGCATTGTTCCCAAAGTGGTTAAAACAAAATGTGCCATATGCATGCAGTGGAAGACTACTTAGCCTTAAATGGAAGGAAATTCAGCTATGTACTGCATTTCTGTAAATTCTGATGCACATGTGAACCTTGGAAACACTCAGAACATTGGTGTAGAGTGTTTGTTTGGTTTGTTTTATTTGGCATATTGGGGGGCAGTACAGGGGATGGAATCCAGGGTTTCACGCATGCTAGGCAAGCACTTCTGAGCTGCATCCCCAGCTGCATATATTTATGTGTACATATCCTCATAAAATATCCACTTTATCCAAAAATGTCCAATTTTTAAAAACATTTTGTTGTAGATGGACATAATACCTTTATTTTATTTATTTATTTTTATGTGGTCCTGAGGATTAAACCCAGTGCCTCACATGTGTTAGGCGAGCTCTCCACCAGTGAGCTTCAAACCCAGCCCCCACAAATGTCAATTTCTTTTGGCCATATCCTGAGGGTGGAATTGCCGGATCAAGTAGTAACTGTGTTCAGCCTTTTGAGGAACTGCCATACTATTTTTAAAAATGTGTTCCCAGTGCAGCCTGGGGTCTAGTATTCCACATCCACACCAGCTCTTGTTTCTCTGATGGTAGCCATCCTAAGGGGTGTGAAGTACTGCCTCGCTGGCTTGGGTTTGCATTTTCCTATGGCTAGTTCTGTGAGATCTTTGCATGATGTCTCTGGGCCAGATATACACATGTATATATGCACTTATCTTTGTTGAAATCTTTTGCCCATCTTTAAAATTACTTGTCTTTGTGTTATTGACTTATAAGAGTTCTTCACGTAATCCAGATAGAAGCCCCTTATCAGATACGTGATTTGCAGATAATCTCCCAATCTGTGGCTTATCTTTCTGCTTTCTTTGAAGTAGAAAATTATTAAATTTTGATAAATTTGTTTATATTTTTCTTGTGCTTTTGGTGTTATGTCTGAGAAATCGTTACAGAAGCTGGACAGCTGTGGAAAGTATCTTGGCATCTAAATTGTCCCTTTATTTCCATGTCCCTTTCAGATATCTCAGAAGATTACATTTTAGTTTGAAAAAGGGGCGATGGAATGCAAAAGAAGAGGAGCAGTTAATCGAATTAATAGAAAAATACGGTGTTGGTGAGTTGTGGAAGTGTTCGCTCCTCTAGATCCTGCCAGCCTGGAGCTCATGGTGAAGGCTTGCAGATCCTACAGGCCTATGGTTCACTGCTGCCTGAGATTAGCTCTCTGGCCTCATTTCTTACTGTTTTGACAATGGTGGTGGTCTCTCCCATTACAAATTTGGGGGGGTTTGTTGTGTTGGTTTTGGTGCTGGGGATGGAAACCCCTCATGCCTGCTAGGCAAGCCCTTAGCCACAGAGCCACATTCTGGCTCCCTTTTATGAGTTACTGCGTATTCACTACAGGAAATCTAGAAGTAGAGTAAGGCAGCCACCCTAGACCCGAGGCACTGCTGTTGCCGTGTGCCCACCACCACTTGCCCTGTGCAGCTGCTACTCAGCCCTTGCCTGGTCTTGTGACCTGCTGCTTAGCTCACTGTGGCAATTGCACTGACCACTCTCCTGCCTTCAGTGGCTACATTGTATTTCCCTGGAGTGCAGAACATACCTTATTTAATCAGCCTTTTCCTGACAGATATTTAAATTCTTACTACTTCTTTTGTGATTTTTAGCTAAATCTTCACATTTGTAATATCTCCTCAGAGTATCCTAGTTAAGGAATTGCTAGGCTTAAGGATATCCAAACACAAAGACTCTTGTCACCTGTTGTCACACTGCCCAATAAAAGCGGCTCCTGGTTTCCCTCCCACCCAGTACTACCTGGAAGGGGGCATAAATCCCTGGAATGTCCAGTGTGCATGGAGCCTGATTATAACAGATTGTGGGAGACCCACGTTTAGAATGTGTGGGTGACTTTTCCTTCTTGGTTGCATGTTTGCCAGTACTTCCCTGATCACCCCAAGACTCGGGTGCTGCCAAACTGCAGGTGCACCAACATAAGTGACGTCTGCTCCTTGCCAAGCCTAGGAAGCTGTGCAGGAAGCCCTTCCCCAGGAGCCCAGGCTCAGCTCCTGCAGGCAGCAAGCCCTCTTTCCAAGCTGATGAGTGTGTCCTTGGAGAGAATCAGGATGAAGCTGTTTCCATGTGGTTTTGCTTTTGTAGGTCACTGGGCGAAAATAGCTTCTGAACTACCCCATCGCTCAGGCTCCCAGTGTCTAAGCAAGTGGAAGGTCATGGCTGGGGTAAGACACCTGTTTGTTTGGGGAGCTTTCCTGAAAGTCAGACAGAAGGCCCCATCACCTGGAATACCTGGGGGAGGGGAGGGGAGGGGCCTTCGGTTTTGGGCCCTGGCATTGGGTTGTCTTCAGGCCAGGGGCAGAGGGAGACCAGCCTGGTCAGCAGCTGCTTTCTACCCCTTGAGGTGTTCCTGTTTGAGGGCCTGTCCTTCAAACCTGGGCAGCAGAGGCCTCCAAGTGACCCTTTCCTCCACTTAGAAGAAGAAGAGTCTCCGGAGGAGGCGACGGCGGCCCTGTCGCAGAGTCCGCTGGAGCTCCGATAGCAGCAGCAGCTGTAGCACTGGAGGTGGCGGCAGCAGCAGCAGCAGTAGCAGCAGCAGCAGCGAGGACCCAGAGACAGAGCTAGAGGAACCCCGGAAGGGCCTCAGAGGGCCACTGTCCCCAAAGTACACAGTGCCAGACATGGACCTGTGGGTCCCTGCCAGGCAGAACACCAGCCAGCTGCAGAGGGGAGGGGCTGGGGGCTGCTCAGGACACCCTGCTGCCTTCACTGGCCCTTCTAAGGAGTTTGATGCTACCCAAGGTTGCAGTAGGGAAGCTTCCAGCACAGCCTTGGCTCCTCAGGAATTGAACCAGAGAGAGGCCCCTACCGGGATCCACAGCCCCGTCCCGAGAGGTGTCCAAGACCCACACTTGGCAGACCGTCACCCAGCAAGCCTGGAGGAGCCAGCCTCTGAGGTGGGTTCCAGGCCCCTAGGTGCATCCCTGGATGTATGCAAGGGGAGAAGTGGGTACCCTGTACTCTTGGTGGCCACTGAGGCCGGTGTTCAGTGACACTGTGGCAGCCTGGTCTGTGGCCTAGCCACCAACCATGTTCCTTCATTGTGCATTAGAAAGTTCTTTTTTGGGCTGATGTTAGAATTGCCCATGTGCAGCAGCCTTTGTAGAGAATAGCAGCCTCCAGTGTTCCCAGCTCTGCTTCAGAAGCCCAGGGGAGACCTGCTTCAGGGCCATGGCTGAGTGGGCACTTGGACTGGGAGGCATTTGTGAAACTTTACATCCAAGTTAGGGGACAGGGAGGAGCCATTTTCCCCCATCTGTGTGACATCTCCTGTGCAGGCTAGCCCAGCTAGTCACGTACATGGACTTGTCGCCCTCTGTTTTAAAAGAGTTGGGGCACTGGGTGCAGAGCAGTGGTGCCCCAGCTGCCCCCGGGTGGAGCACAGCCCACAGCAGCACCCTCACCTCGAGGGCCGTTTCTGGCAGCCTCTCTCCTGGGAGCCAGGCCTGGCTGAGGGCTGCACGTGTCCTGTGCAGACCTTCCCAGCATGGAGTGGCGCCCATGGCCTGCAGGCTAGGCTCTGGCCCAGGGAAGTCCATAGCAGCACAGGCTTCAGGCCCCCACATCCAGCCTCCTCTCCTGGTCAGGGTGGACAGCATCTGCTGAAAGTACCCCTGATGACAGTACAGAAGGTGCTGAGGACCAGTATGGCCGTCCAGAACCGCACACTGGTGAGGGCCCAAAGCACTTACATCCTGGTATGAGTGGTCTCTTTCTTGTCTGTGACCATACATTGAGGGAGTTGGGGATACTGTGGCCCTTTTGGCCAGGGGCCCAGGTGCCTTCTTCCTGCAGAAGGAGAGGCTGAGGCAGCCGTCCCCACCTGACTCACCCCCAGGGCCTGGCCCTGGTGACGGCATGGCTGGGCCTTACCTATGGCAGCTGAGGCATGGAACCTTCCAGAATGGACAGCAGCACCGGAGACATAATCTGCACCGGAGGCTCCTCGAGCGTAGACTTCTGTTGGCTGTGACACCATGGGTGGGTGATATCGCCCTGCCCTGCGCACAGGTCCCCCCCAGGCCTGCAGCTGTGCACACTAGAGGTACTACCCATGTACTGGGAGCCTCCTGTGGGGGCTGAGGGTGGAGACAGGGTGCCTGGTGGTCTATCAGGAGTCTGAGAAATGGGCCATGCCTGGGGTCAGGCTGCTGGGAGGGGCAGAGGCAACTGTCCCCACAGGTTTGAGGAAACAGGGCCAGCCTTCCTTCTGCCCTTGCTGGTCTTCCTGCTATGTGAAGGGACAGCTGTGTGGGGTTCTTTGGGTAGTGGGAGGGCTTCTGTCCCTTGGTGCTTGTGTGGGACAGGGTTCTGGCTTCTCCTTGCCCCTGCCTCTACCACCTTGAGAGATCTCGGACTCCCAAAGGCGACCTTGGTAGCTGGAGCTGTTTCCCTTGTGTGCCCTCAGCTAACACCATCAGAATGCAGTTAGAGCCCGCCCGGCTGGCCAGCACCCCGGTGTTCACGCTGCTGATTCAGGTGAGCCACCTGAGCAGGAGGCTGTTGGCTTTCTTCTTTGGTGGAGACTTGAAGTTTGCCAGGGGTTTACTTCTTGAAGTCTGGGTTATCTAAAGTTCCAGTCCTTGGAAACAGTCCTCTGGGGTCTACAGCTTTCAGCAGATAAATATGGAAGGGGCAGCTGGTCATTCCATTTAACCCCTTGTGTAAAATGGGGATAGGCACCAGAACCCCAGGTCTAAGTGGAGGATGAGCAAGAGGGAGGAGGCCTGGTGCACACTCAAAGGCTAACCAGAAGGAAGGGAAGGCAGCCTTGGACTGGGGCAGCCCGAGAACCTAAGTCCAATCTGAGGGCACCCGAAGCTCTGGTGGCCTCCAGCTGGCTCCAGCCAAACCTTGGGCTGTGAATCTGATCCTGAGGGCAGCCTCGTGGGGACTACAGTCGGGGCCGCGCCCCTCCTACTAATAACTTAGGCACTTGGACCCTATGGGGCTGGGGAGGGGATGTGCCCTTACCCCAGTGTCCCTCAGCTGTTGCAGATCGACACTGCTGGCTGCCTGGATGTTGTTCGTGAGAGGAAGACCCAGCCACCCACATCACTCCAGTCTGGCACCCAGGGCCTGCCACCACATCTTCTGCAGGTAGCAGCCTCAGGGTCCAGTTCCCTTGGAGGAGTGGGGCCCACCTCCCAGAGCAGCCTTCCCTGCTGTGCTCCTCCAGGGAGGGAGACCTATGCATGCCCACAGTGAGGGTCTGAGCCCTGACAGGCTTCTTGGCGAGTCCCAGGCAGGTGCAAGCGGGATGACACCGAGGCGTGCCAGGTTGTGGACCTTGTGCCTCTCCCAGGACACCACCTGTCCCAGGCAGAGGTTGGGAGCTGCAGGCACCTCATACTTCAGAAACTAAACACTCAGGCTTAGCAGGAGACCTGGCCCTGGAGCTGTCTCCTGGGGAGGCTGGGAACCACAAAATGGTATCACTAGGCTGCGCATCAAGTACGGCTTCATGGTCTGCACAGGCCACAGACCCCACGCTGCGGCAACCTCCAGATGAGCTCTGGCAGGGCGCCTGCTCCTGGAGCCCCAGCATCAGGCTGTCAGCCACTGTCACGGCCCCTGAGCTCTGTTCAGAGCTGGGCTGAGGCTCTAGAGAGTATCAAAGGTCCGTCTGGGTGGGGAGAGGTGATCTGAGCCCAGCGAGGACATCCTGCAGGCTGACTGTCTCTTTCCTTTTCAGGCTCCCTCCTGTGCCCAGAGCACCCCAGGTACCACCCCCACACTTCTCTCTGTCTTGGTGGGAAAGGCAGCATCTGCCACACTGGTGCCACAGCTCCAAGCAGCACAGCCTGTGGCCCTGTTGGTGGGTGTCTGTTGAATCCCACCCCGGGGCCAAGAGCTGGCTGGGCAAGCCCAGGGCTGCTGGAGTCCTTGCCTGCCTGCCCTGAGGCAGCCCAGGCAGAGAATCAGGAGGCCAGAGGTTGCCTCTAGCAAAGGCTGTTCCTAATGGCAGTCACCAGTCACCCATGCCAGCAGAACCTGGTTCTGGACCTGTCCTAGGACTTTGAGGGGACAGTGCTTTGTCACAGGAGGGGGAACAGTGGGGCCAAATAGCCCTGGTCTGGAAGATTCTTAGGGTTTAGGCTAGTCTCGGGCCATTCATTATTAAGCAGGCTGGGCTGCCTGTACTGTGGTCAGAGCATTGGAGTTTGAGGGTCTATGAGGTGAAACATCTGGCGGTAAGCAGCTGGAGCCCTTGGTCTAGAACCTGACTCCCATCCCTTCTGTGAAAAAGCTGCCCCCTGCAGGGGCCTCTTGATGTCCCTAGGTCCAGAGCCTGGGGCTCCCCATCAGCTGTGGATGTCTGTCCCTCTACAGGATGCCCCTTCCCAAATGTGCCAACCCGGAATGCTACAAAGAGTGCCAGCCACAGAGGGAGCACAGGACAGGAGTCCTGCCAGGCCAACTCCACCTCACCCCAAGTGCCTGTGGCGGCCCCACGCGGTCCCCGACCCAAGCCTAAGACTGTATCAGAGCTGCTTCGGGAGAAGCGGCTCCGTGAGGCTCGTGCCAGGAGGGCCACCCAGGGCCCAACTCTTCCTCCCCAGCTGCTGGTCTCCCCTGTGACCCTTGGGCCCCCTGTGCTGCCAGCCCCTCAGCCTCAGGGTTCCCCAGCCACAGGTCCTGTCTCCAGTACAGACTGCTTTGGGCCTAGGGCCCCCATGGCAGCCAGTGCATGCCCGTCTGGCTGTTGGCAGGAGACTGGGGTTTCAGACAAGGACGAGGGACTCCCCACCCTACAAGCCTTGCCTCTCAGTCCCGCCCCAAGCCCTGGCCAAGTCCCCGTGGGCTGCCCTCTGAGCATTCTGGGACAGTCTCAGGCCCCTACCACATCCCGGAAGCAGGGCCTACCTGAGGTTCTGCCCTTTTTCCCCGCAGCCCCCAGCCCCACTCAACTGCCCATGCAGCCCCTCAACCTGACGCCTGCTCTGGGCACACACAGAAGTGGGACCCCCCTGGCAGCCAGCATCCCCTTGCCTGTCACCTGGGTGCTCACAGCCCAGGGGCTGCTCCCTATGCCAGTACCAGCAGTGGTGGGCCTCCCTGGTCCCACAGGGCTACCTGTGAAGCTCCCACCACCCTGCTGTGAGGCTCCTGCTTGCCCCTCACAGCCCCAGGCCAGTGTGGACACAGAGCCAGCCCCCTCTTCCAGGACTGACACCTCAGCTCCCCCAACTTGCCCCCTATCCCAGAGTCCTCTAGAAGTCGGTGGTAATGTTCCTGGCGCTCTTGGAGAGGCCCAGGTGGTCAAGGAGGCTGCAGTGCCAAGGACGTCTTCCCAGACCAACTGCCCTGAAGCAGAGCCCCCCCAGCCCAGCCAGCTCTCTGCTTCTGTTGGCACTGGTCCCACAAATGGCTCAAGAGGGACACTGGAGCCTGGGGGGCCTCTGGGTCTAGAGAAGCCACAATTGTCTGGGTCCGAGAAGGGGGCCTTGGATCTGAGCCTGCTCTCCCTGGAGAGTGAGGCAGCCACACGGCAGTGGCTAAAGGGACAGCAAGGGGTTCATGTGCCCCCACTGGGGAATAGGCTACCCTACCATCCCCCCACCCTGTCCAGCCTACGAGCACTGTCCAACCTCCTGCTCCACAAGAAGGCCTTGGAGCACAAGGCCTCCTCCCTAGTGGCCAGTGGGGCAGCTGGGGCACTGCAGACCTCGTTGGAGCTGGTGCGGAGGCAGCTGCAGGACAACCCAGCCTACCTTTTGCTGAAGGCACGGTTCCTGGCAGCCTTCACAGTGCCTGCTCTCCTGGCCACCCTGGCCCCCCATGGCATCCGTACCACCCTGTCAGTGGCCACAAGAGCCAGCTCTGAGAGTGAGGATGAGGACCTCCTGAGTGAGCTGGACCTTGAAAACAGGGACAACTGGTTAGGCTGTGCATCCAGTAGAACACAGGCAAGGCCAGCAACCACGGTCCCCATCCAGGTAAGGGTGCCAGGCTCAGCTGCACTTTCCTGCCTACACGTCCTTCCTGCCTGGCGTGGCAAGTTGGGGCTGATGAAGTGGCACAGGGACACTGGCTGCATGTCCCACAGGAGGAAAAAGCTGGCCCACGCTGCAGAAACTCAGCCCTGCCACTCAGGGTCCCCCCCCCCCCAAGTGCTGGGTGGGTGTTAGGAAGAGCTCGTGGTAGCTGAGCTGGCCAGCTCTGAGCTCTGCCCACCACAGGCACACACCTGACCCAGGGCTTCTGCTTAGGACGTTTTCTCATCTGTGTTAGCAATACTTTTCTTTCTTGTCCCACCAGAACCTTGAAACAAAATGTTGGGGACATTGTTGTGGCCTCCTGGCTGCCCCTAGGGAGCCACAGACACCAAAACCCCTGCCCCTGTTGCCAGGTGTCAGACCTTTGTGCCTGACCAGGGTGGGCTTCAGCCTTGCAGGGGTACCTGTGGGCAGCAGCCTCCAGTGATGCCCTCCCCAGGATTTCCAGGTGCAGCCTTCCCCCTGAGGTGGTCGCTCCCTTCCCAGGGGGGCCAAGCCCTGTTCCTCAGCACTGTCCCTGCTGGCCCTTGCCTCAGAGCAGAAGGCTGGCCATGAAGGGTTTCCTTAAAGTGGGTTGGCAATGCCTTTGTGAGGGAGAAAGCCCCCTGTGGGCTCCAGGAAGGCCTGCTGCAGCCCCTCCCTGGCTCAGGTCCTGCTGCCCTGGCTCAGTTCACAATGTGCCCTGTCCTGAGTGAGGACAGATCCAAGAAACTGGCCTGTTCTGTTTGGGTCAAGACTGGCTAGTGCTTTCCCCTCGAGGCCCTTCTCCGTGCCCCCATCCACTGCCCATTGTGGTGGGGGTCACTCTTATTTGTCCTTGCCTGGGCTCTTATTTCAGGGAGCTCTGGTTTCTAGCGAGGGTGCTGTTCCCTCCCACTTGGATACCTTTGATGACCTTGATGTGCTCAGGACCAGGCATGGCCGGCATGCCCGGAAGCAGAAGCCCCTGCTGTGAGCAGCAGGTGAGTCCCAGGCTCTGCAACCAGGAGAGCTGGGTGCCTCCTCTGTTGGGGAGCACCAAAGCTGAAGCCGGGTGTGAGGGTCCACAGGCTGTTTGTGTGTATGGGCCTGGTAGGAACAGGGCCAAGTCACACAGGCTCTCTATCCTCCCACCTACCCACCCTGTGTGCTTCAAGGCCTCTGCACAGCTGTCCCCTCTGCCCATAGGATTACAAGGCTCCTCCCTCCCCTTGCTGAGTCTCCACTCCATCCATCCTGGTGTCACTGATTATGTCACCTACCACACGCTACCTGTGTAGTTATGGTCTACCCATGGCCTTGAGCCCGTAAGAGCACTTTGCTTTTGCTCTGGCCCTTGTCCTGGACAGCAAGTGCCTTATAGGCCCTGGTATGTTTGGGTTGAGAAGAGGGAGTCAGGTCAGCCCACCCAGAGGCAAGAGCAGTTGCTTTGACCACAGGACAGGTCCTGGAGCTGGCAGGAGTGGCAGGATGATGTGGCGGAGGGTGGCAGTGTCCTGGTGTTCCAGCTGGTCTTCTGTGCATCCGACCCTGGGTTCCAGTGCCTTTCCCCATGTGGCGCAGTGTCGCTGGCCGTACTGTCTGGGGTCTGGCTGCATGTACTGGGCCCTCCTGGAGTCGAGTGCCCCCCACCATCAGTGTGCTCCTGTGTTTCAGAACAAGGACATAGAGCCCGCGCCTACCCCAAGAGCCCATCGTCCACCGTACAGGAGAAAATAGCCAGGGTCTGGAGAGCTGCTGCCTGTAGTAGGCAGGAAGAAACCCAGCAGAGTGGCCACGTTGGTTGTCCCAGGCTTGGCTGGTCTCTAAGTACAAAGCTCAGTGTTTGGAGGAATAAAGTAAATGTTTGATTTTTCAATTAAAAAGCAAGACAAGCTTTTGTGATTTTGTTGTCTTAGGGTACCGGGTGGTAGACCCCGACTGCCACCACCAGAATTGTACCACCCGTCAGCTCTGGGGGTGCATGGGACACCAGCTGGCTCAGCCTCCTTTGCTGGGCCTTGAGCTCATGGCCCCTGAGCTCTGGAGAGGTTAGAGAAGTAGCTCCTGTCTGTTTTGTGGAAACAGGCTGTGGCTCTGGCCACACTGGCCCCAGACAGCGTCCCCAGGACCAGTGGCCACCTGCCTGCCCACAGTCACAGCAGCGGCTCCCTCCCTCTGGTGGTTCCTTTCCCGTGGGCATTTCCTGGCTCCGGGCCAGAGCCCAGCCATGTGCCTGCCCCTTTGCTTTCCCAGTCCTGTCTTCTCATGTGGCTTCCCACTCGCCCAGGCCTGGGACCCTCCTGTGGCTTGGTTCTCATCACTTACTTCATTTTCTCACTGGAGATTTCCAGCTCAGAGAAGTAAAAGGAGGGGTGCCTGTCCAGGTCCTGATCGTTTGGGGACCATCACAGGCACTGGACCCGCCCTTCGGCTATTAGGCTCTGCTGCTGCAAGTGTACACCGCCACCAGTATCTAGTTTTCCTCGTTGATTCCTCTAATCTGCGGGTTGTAGAGTTTTCTTAAAATTTATTTCCAAATACTTGGGAATTTTCCAGATATCTTTCTGTTGCTAACTCCTAGCCTAATTCTGATAAGTCTGAGAACATGACTTTAAAGTATATTTGTGGTCCTGGAGATCAAACCTAGCTACAGTTCAGTGGTACAGCTCCCCTAACCTTTTTTATTTTATTTTGAGTCAGGGTCTTAAAAGTTGCCCAAGCTAGCCTCTAACTTGGAATCCTCCTGCCTCAGCCTCCTAAGTCCCTGGGATCACAGGCATGTCCACTGTGTCCAGCAATGTCTTTATTCTTCAGAATACACACCTGGGGCTAGGGGAGTAGCTGAGTGATGGAGCACTTACTCAGTATGTGCAGGTCTGGCTTCCATCCCCAGCACTGCAAAGACAAAACCCCAGAAAAGACACCTTTGTCCCTCATGAACAAATGGGATGCTCTAGGCAGGGGAGCCCCTGCCACTTCCCTGCTGTGACAGCACAGCCTGGGTCACCTCTGCAGTCGAGGAGGTGCTTCCAGGGCCTGGAGCTGGAACATCCCTAACTGCCTGCTCCTCCACACATGGGCAGGGCTGCTGGCCCTCCGTGGAAGCCAGCAGGAGAGCTGGTCTCGCAGGGTCAGAGGCCATGCAGGGAGTGGTCAGGGGAGCTTCCCACCCTTTCCACTCACCCCTTCTTGGTAGCTGTTGCCTCAGCCTGACCGGGCAGGCCAGGTGTGGCTCCGTCCAATCAGCTCCTCCTGCTGAAGTGGGGCCTGGGGCTCTCCACACCCCTCAGGGACCAGGCTCCAAGGACCACCCTAGATGTGGGCCAGAGAGGACTCTGTTGCCTGTCACCCATTGGCTTTGGCCTAGCTTTGCCTGCCATCAGCTTCTGGGAGTACCCCCCCATGCATCCTGGTAGAAAGGGAGACTGGCATGGGGGTTCCCAGTGGCAAGGACAGGGAGGACATCAGGGTGCCTCACCCCCTGTGGAGGGCTTAAATGTCTAGCTGGACAGTGGGCTGGCAGCAGCGTGCCGCAAACACGCTATTACTCCTGACCTCTGGTAGGTCACCCAGCCCTGAGACCATGTGCCCTCCGGGGTGCCATGGTGGGTTGGCCTCCTCTAGCCCAGGAGGGCCTTTGCCCTTCTTTCCACGTTTTCAGGTGCCCTAAGACCTGGGACCCTGTCCCTGGGCAGGCAGGCTCCTCTGTTCCCCAGAGGACTTCCACTTCCCTCCCCTGGGGCCGCCCTGGCTGTCAAACCAGAAGCAGGCCACCAGGGACTGTCCCCCTGCGGGAGGACAGGCCTGCCTTAGTGGTGTTAACCAGAACACAGCAGGAAGTCAGAGCCTCCCTCTGAGCTCCACCCTCGCTCCCTCCAGCACCAAGCTGCCGCCAGCATCTCCCAGAGACCCTGGCAGCCCCAGATCCTGGTGTTCCCACGGCCAGGACAGCACGCAGCTGGCAGGTGGCTCCTGCAGGTAGGCTGGCCTGGAGCCCTTCAGGAGATTGGCATGGGGGAAGGTGGCTGGGAGACCATAGTCTTGCTGGGGACCCTGAAGCACATGCCTAGAGCAGTGCTGTGCTCCCACAGGCCAGCCATGCGGCCTCAGCGATTCCCGGGCCCTGCACGGCCACTCTGCAGAGACCTGTTCGCTCAGAGGAGTCAGTGGTGGGAGTTGGTGTGGGCCATGTGGATTCGGGCCAGAAAGACAGGCAGTAAAAGCCCAGTGTTCCCAGGACTGTCCCCTGGGCCACCAGCCTGGGCAGGGAATCGGTGCAGCAGGAAGCTGAGGAGTTATTCAGAAGAGCATGCCTGTCTCCAGGGCCAGTGGCCCAGCCAGCTCCTCTGGCCAGTCAGGGCCCCATCCCTGTCTCAGGGAGGTAGAGCTGCTCGGCTGCTGCCACCTTGGCCCAGTCCTGAAGCCAGTCACTTGAGCTGTGCACTGGTGTAAGAAGATATCAAAGGGTGGGCCCTCATGGGAAGACCCCTTGTCTACAGCTGGCCTGAGTGTCCCCAGCCTGGCAGGAGCCAGGCCCTCTCTGGGCCAGAGAGTGCAGGGGTCACCAGTGCCCAGGACCTGAGAACCATGAGAGGGTGCGGCAGCAGCTTCCCTGGGCAACAGGCAACCCTGCCAGCCCCTCGCAGCATGCCCGGGTCTAGGGTAATGGCAAATGCCCCCGTGAGCAGCCCTCCACCGCCCTCCCTAAACAGCTCCGTGACACGGGGAGCTGCCATGGAGCTGTTGCATCACCAGCCCATGGCCAGCGGAAGGACTGGGGGGCAGGGGCCTTGGGGGATGAGGAAGTCCTCCACAGCCTGGCTCCCTCCCAAGGCAAAGGTGGGAGGGCCACCAGCCAACCTGCCCCTCGCCCAGCCCGGATGCTGGACGGCCAGGACTCACAGTGCCATGCAGGGTGGCCCCGTGGGACAAACCTCCTCCCACCACTTTGGAATGTCATGGTGCAGGGGAATGTTCTTCTCTTAGACCCCAGCTGTTCCTCTCACATTTACCCAGGTGATTCGGGAAGAAAGCAAGCTGGGCAGAGGGGCAGGGCCGGAGCTCAAAGAAGGAGACAGCTCGGTAGCCTGACAAGGAGCTGTCCCAATGCCTCTGCTGTCCCTGGGGAAATGGTCATGCAGCCAGGAATGTGAGGGTAAACCCCTCAGACGCCCCTGGGTGGGGCTCCCTGGTGGCCCTGCCCAAAGCCCTGGCAGGACACCTGTACACTTGGTGTGGGCTGACCCTGGGGCTAGGCTCCAGGCCAGGGGCACAGCAGGTGGGCATTTACCTCGGCTGCTCTCGCCAGCTCCAGCCACCAGCCTGCGGAGGCCATGTCGGACTATGAGAATGAGGACGAGTGCTGGAATGCCCTGGAGGGCTTCCGGGTCAAGCTCATCTCTGTCATCGACCCTGCCCGCATCACGCCCTACCTGCGCCAGTGCAAGGTTCTGAACCCTGATGACGAGGAGCAGGTGCTCAGTGACCCCAACCTTGTCATCCGCAAGCGGAAAGTGGGTCAGTGTTGCCCCCGCCTGCTGCCCCAAGGATCCAGGCCCCAGGTGGCTGCTTTGTGCCTCCCTGGCCCTGGCCCACCCAGGTGGACTGTGAGCCCCAGCCTCCATCCTGAGGACGGAGTGGAGGTCCCCTCCCATGTTGCTGGAAGCTATGATTGGAGTGGCAGAGAGCTCACACACCACTGAGGCCCTGGGAGGCCTGGGGTGGGCGGGCAGCACTTTGTCCCCATCGTAGGCCACCTGCAGGGCACCTCCATCAGATCATTAGCCTGACCTCTGTGTTGGGCAGGCCAGGCCTGGCCAAAGCCGGGTGGGGCGGGCAGGGGCACACACAGCTTGGGGTACCTTGTGCCCAGAATGTACCCCACCTGCACCTTGGGAGCCTCCTCCCCAGCCCTGGCCCTGCCCCCCCGCCCCCAATGCCCCAATCCCCAGCCCTGCCTCTCTGGCCTGCAGGCGTGCTCCTGGACATCCTGCAGAGGACAGGTCACAAGGGCTACGTGGCCTTCCTCGAGAGCCTGGAGCTTTACTACCCACAGCTATATAGGAAAGTCACCGGCAAGGAACCAGCTCGTGTCTTCTCCATGATCATTGGTGAGGGTCAGGATGGGGTGACCTTGGGGGTGGGGTCCAGGCACGGGGTCTCCCCCTCGCAGGTCCTTCTGGTAGGTCTATAGTTCATAAAATGGGGGAGAAAGAACCTGGAAATGGGCCAGCATGAAGATCCCGCCCCCACCCCCCCACCCCACTCAGGGTCTGGGCACCTGCATTGCTGGGGTACCCCTGGCCTCCAGAGGGGGAGCTTCTGGGGGTAGGAACCTCTCCCGGCCTCAGAATACCCACTCGCTGTGGGTTCCACCTCTCTAAAGCCTTTGTCCCCACAGAGTCCTGTGATTCCCAGCAGGGGCAGCGGGATGCTGTCCTGCAGGTAGCCCACTGGTTTGCTGCATCTCATTAAGATCCTTTTTAGCATGTGCAGTGGCCACACCTGTAACCCCAGCTACTCTGGAGGCTGAGGCAGGAGGGTCCCAAATTCCAGGCCAGCCTCAGAACTTAGTGGCCCTATCTCCAAATAAAAATAAAAAGGGCTGGGGATGTAGCTCAGTGTAGAGCACCCCAGAACCCAGGGGTGGGAGCGGGGAAGATCTATTATACAAAGAGAGAAAGAAGGGCTGCCCTGAGCCCTGGCCTGGAGTGGCCTGGGAGAGGATGAAGTGTCCTGTTCACGTCCCCCAAGCGGAACAGAGACCAGGCAGAACTGGCCTGCTGACTCCAGCTGCTGGTCCTCAAGCACCTAGGGTCATTGAGGTTGGGCAGATGCAGGGGCATGGCTCCGTCTGACGCTACCTGGCCCCCAGACGCATCTGGGGAGTCTGGCCTGACACAGCTGCTGATGACGGAGGTCATGAAACTACAGAAGAAGGTGCAGGACTTGACTGCGCTGCTGAGCTCCAAGGACGACTTCATCAAGGAGCTGCGGGTGAAGGACAGCCTACTGCGCACACACCAGGAGCGGGTGCAGCGGCTCAAGGAGCAGTGCGAGGCTGGCGGCCGCGAGCTTAAGCGCTGCAAGGAGGAGAACTACGACCTGGCCCTTCGCCTGGCGCGCCTCAGCGAGGAGAAGGGCACAGCACTCATGCGGAGCCGCGACCTGCAGCTGGAGGTGAGCGGGTCCCACTCCCCGGGCGCACCCTGCTGCCCTGCCTGGAGCCTGGCTGACTGGACCCCCACGCCCCTGCAGGTGGACCGACTCAGGCACAGCCTCATGAAGGCGGAGGACGACTGCAAGGTGGAGCGCAAACACACGCTGAAGCTCAGGCACGCCATGGAGCAGCGGCCCAGCCAGGAGCTGCTGTGGGAGCTGCAGCAGGAGAAGGCCCTGCTGCAGGCCCGTGTGCAGGAGCTGGAGGCCTCCGTGCAGGTGGGGCTGCGCCCGGCTTCCACACCAGGCTTCCGCGGGCGGCTCATGGCTAGGGGCAACACAGGCACTGGCAGCCAGGCAGCCTGGGCCTCCCGGTCATAGTTGCCCTTGGCCGTCTTCAGGAGGGGAAGCTGGACAGGAACAGCCCCTACATCCAGGTGCTGGAGGAGGACTGGCGCCAGGCACTGCGGGACCACCAGGAGCAGGCCAACACCATATTCTCCCTGCGCAAGGACCTCCGCCAGGGCGAGGCCCTCCGCAACCGGGTAGGAGGGTTGGTGGCAGGCACCAGGCCTGGGGTGTTAAGCCAGTGCCCACTGGGCATCTGGAAGGCAGGGTGCTGGATCTCATTTAAATTCTCTGCTGCACCACTTCTGGGGGTACAGCCCTTTGGTGCGGGCTCTTTGCCTGCATTTGCCTGGGAGGGTGGGGGCCATCCTCAGGGCTCACAGTGCCTGTGGCAGAATGGTGGCCATGGCCAGGGTCTCTGCTGGGTCTGGCCCACTGTGGTCTGTGGCCCCTGGGGCCTCCTCCTGGTCCCAGCTGGCCTGACCAAATGTACCCTCAAGTGCCATCCCTGAGGCCAGGTGGCCCAGGGCTGGTCGGCTGAACAGCCCCTCCTGCAGTGCATGGAGGAGAGGGAGATGTTCGAGCTGCAGTGCCTGGCTCTGCGCAAGGACTCCAAAATGTACAAGGACCGCATCGAGGCTGTCCTGCAGCAGATGGAGGAGGTGGCCATCGAGCGGGACCAGGTGAGTGCCTCCTGCCTCGTGCGGAGGTAAGGATGCAGGGAGGGAGCTGGTCCCCAAGCTCATGGCCCAGGCAACATGGAGTCCATGGCCAGCTTCCCACCCGGCCCATCCCACTCGGGAAGAGCCTCCTCCTTCCACGCTCCTCTCAGTGCTGTGCGTTAGTTTTCTTTTATACATCTTGTACAAAAGAGGGCTTTCCATCAGTCTTATTTTGCAAGCAACTATTTTTAATTTTATTTTTTGTGGTACTGGGGATTGAACCCAGGGGTGCTCTACACTGGCTTGCACCCTCAGTCCTTTCTTTTTTCTTTTCTTTTTTTTTTGAGACAGGGTTTCATTAAGTTGCCCAGGTTGGCTTCAAACTAGTGGTCCTCCTGCCTCAGCTTCCTGAGTAGCTGGATTACAGGTGTGCCCCACAGTGCTCAGCTGCAAGTAGCTTTTTTTAACTTAAAAGAACTGTGGGTGCCTGTCTGGGGAACTCTTGTGGACCCGGCGGAGCATCCCACCACAGGGCTGCATCTGCACCCTGTCTCCCAAGCAGCTTCCTGGAGGCTGTTTCCAGTTGACAGCTGGTGCTCCTGCCAGTGCTGGAGGGTGACTCATGACATGTATCAGGAGTCCTGAACCCAGACTGCTGGGAGTCACCTGTGGAGATACAAGGACCCCAGGAAAATAGCGACTCTGCCTGTCCAGCAGGCGGTCAGCCACCATCCCTGCCTTGGGCACAGACTCCCAGGCAGATTCTCAGGCTGAGGGGCTGGAAAGCCTCTGGTGGGAGGGAGGGGACTGGCTGCACCCCGGGGCTGCTGCCCAGGAGCTGGTCCAGTGCCAGGCACTGGTGGGCTTGGCAAGGCCATGTTTGGCTGTCTCCAAGAGGTCCAGAGTCAGAAGCAGGGACAAGAGGTAGGGAAGCAGCCATTTACCAGTCAAGTCCTGGCCAGGGTGGGGCCCACTGGCCTGTGGGCTACTGATGGTCTCCTAGACTGCTGGCTGCAGTTGGGGTCAGAGTTCTGCCCCACTGTAGTGTGCCCTCCTCTGCTAGCACATTGGTCTCACACCTCAGGGACCCCGGGTAGGACACAGGCATAAAGGAGCATGATAGAAGCTGGGCACAGTGGCCACACCTGTAATCCCAGTGACTCTGGAGGCTGAGGCAGGAGGATCGTAAGTCTGAGGCTTTAGCGAGACCCTGTCTCAAAATAAATAAAATAAAATAAAAAGTGCTGGGATGTGACTCAGTGTATAGCACTTCCAGGTTCAATCCACAGTACCCAAAATAAGAAAAATAGAAGAGCACGACATTCATTTTTAAGAATCTTATGTAGCCACTGGTGGTCATGCTCTGGATTACCAACTGCATCCAGTCCTTACCAATCACAAGAACATGGATAGGGAACAAAGATGTGCTGGGTATCCTCTGGGAATTGAGGGACTCAAGAGTTGACACGGGGCCACAAGGACTGCCCTGAGGGTTGAGAATATGGAGATTTCTAACCTTTTTCCTCCCACAATACTGGAGATTGAACCTGGGGTTCTGTATCATTAGCTACATCCCCAGTCCGATGTGGGTTTTTGTTGTTGTTTGTTTTTGAGATAGAGTCTCACCAAATTGTTGAGGTTGACCTCAAACTTGTGGTCCTCCTACCTCAGCCCCCTGAGTTGCTGGGATCACAGGCATGGCCACTGTGCCCGGCGAGTTTTATCTTCTTCACGCTTGTCCACTTTCCATCATGTGCCTTCATTACTTTACAATCCCCAAATGCCATCTGTGTCCAAGGGAAAGGAGAGGCCTGCGCTGGCTGGTCCCACGCAGCTCCACTGACTCCGAGAGGTGCTAGAAGTCCTGCTGGGAACTTGCTTTAGAAGCTGGGAGTCATGCTGTAAGGAGAGAAGCAAAGAGAAGCCCTGGGCTGAAGGTGGCCTGTGCTTCCTGCAGGCCATGGCCTCCCGGGAGGAACTGCACACGCAGTGTGCCCGGAGCCTCCAGGAGAAGGATGAACTGCGCAAGCGGGTCCGGGAGCTGAGTGAGAAGGCGGATGAGCTGCAGCTGCAGCTGTTCCAGTGCGAGAGCCGGCTGCTGGCCGCGGAGGGCAGGCTCAAGCAGCAGCAGCTGCAGGACACACTCACCCTGGTGGGCTGCAGGACAGGGTGGCCTGCCAGCTCAGCCCTGTGGTCCTGCCCGGGCCAGTCAGTGCAGTGAGGGAGTGGGACCCAGGCGTGCGGCCAGGACAACCCCAGACCTTCCTTGTGGTGCAGTAAGGGCTGCTAACACAGCCCAGGCCTAAGCAGGACGTGGGACTGCTGGACACTGGCTGTGACCAAGTGGAGCCAGCAGGGTGGGGTGGTGAGGAGGAGGGACATTCTAGGCAGAGCCTAGAGAGGGGAGAGCCAGAGCTGAGGCATGTATGGGGGCTCCTGGAGGATGGGGCTGGACTGGGACCCTCGCCATACCCCACCCACCCCACGCTGCTCTAACCAACCCCTCTTCGTTGACCACAGAGCTCTGATCTGGAGGACAGCTCCCCCAGGAACTCCCAGGAGGTGAGCGTGACCCCAGGATGGTGCCCGGCTGGCCTCTGTGAGACTCCCAGCTTCCACCCACCCACAGCCACATTTATGCTCCCAGGGTCCCGCTGAACTGAGCCTCCGCTGCCCAGCTCTGGGCCAGGCAGGGGGAGAGGCCCATTTGCTGGAGGGTACAGTGAGGCCAGGGCAGGGCTGCTGGTGCAAGAGCTCCATTTCCCAGCCCCTCCTCACGCAGCCCAAGCCCCCGAGGAGCTGTACAGAGGGGAGACAGGCACCATGCCTGGCTGGGGTGCAGGAGCTGCGTGGGCTGTGGGGTAGGTGGGGTCCAGTCCTGGTGGGGAGTGGTGGCTGGAAGGGAGGACTAACAGTGACCTGTCTGTCTTTGGAAGCTCTCACTGCCCCTGGATGTGGAGGAGGATGCCCAGCTCTCGGACAGAGGTGAGCGGGTACACCATGCACCATACTCCTCTGGCCCAGAAGCACGGGGCTTGGCCTTCTGGTCCCCCTGAGCCCTGGCCTATAACTAGTGCCCTGTCTCTTCAATCTTCACGTTCTACTCAGCAGACGGGAAAACTGAGGCTTGGGGGTGTTATCAGGTCAAGGATGCCTAGAGAGCAGAGAATCTGACTCAAACCTGGGGCCCAGCTGGCAGGGTCCTTGGTCCAGTGAGGACAGGTCCCCCTGGGGCAGTGGGTGTGGAGCCTCCACCCTGGGCAGGCCCAGGGAATGCAGAGTAAAACAGGGCTCCCCCACCCTCTCCTCACAAAGCTTCCTGTTGCAGTGGGAGACACAGTAAGCCAGTGTCCAGGCTCAGAAGGCCAGGGATAGAGGAATGGGGCTGCATGCGGGGCAGGGGGTGGGGGGCACCGAGGGGGCTGAAGAGGCTTCCAGTGGGCCAGGCAGATTTCCTCCTGGGCTCATTTTTAAATGGGGCTCTTAGCCCTAGAAACAGACTGGGGGTGGATGGCAACAGCTGGGTGCCTCTGGGAGTGGCCTGGATGTGGGTAGGAGCTGGGGAGGAGTCTGCTCTGATGATGGGGGTCGGTGGGAGGTGGGGAGGGTAGTGGGGTGCCCCGGGGAGGTTGCGTGGGAAGTCAGAAATACTTCCTCAGGGGTGCCTGAGCCCAGCCTCCACGCAGAGGCAAAAGGGGAAGAAGTGGCAGCAGATGGAGAAGTGGGGGCGGCCATCTGCCACAACCCAGAGGCTTGAGGCTACAGAGCCCCACGTGTTCAGGGGTGGCAGACTCAGGAGTAGCCAGCTCCCAGGGGGCTGTGGCAGGAGCCAGGCAGCATGGAGGTTGAGCTGAGGGGGAGTGTCAGCTAAGAGCAGCTCAGGAGGGGCGGCCAGGCAGGCAGGACACAGCCTGGCACCCCAGCCCTGCTGACCACCAGTACTGCCCTAAGGGCCTGAACTTTGGTCTGCCTAGATCCTGGGAGAGTCAGAGGGGTCCAGCAGCCTGGAATGTTCTGCTTCCAACTGCTGCAGTATCCCAGCCACACCTCTGGAGGCCCTGGGCCCTCCTCTTGAGGTTGCCCCTGCCCACTCCTGAGAGTCACCATGCCTGAAAATGCTACCCAGCAACTGGGAACACAGCACAGCCTGACGGGGCTTGGGGCCACCTGGGAAAAGTGTCCTGGAACCTTGGGGTCCTTGTTTGTCTGTTTGTCGTTGGTCTTTGGGGGCAGCCAGCTCAGGAGGAATGGACGGTTGATGGAAGGAGTTGTGGGACTCTCTAGGACCAGCAGCTTCTGCCTGCCTCAGAAGGCTTCTCCTGGGAGTGAGGGGAGGCCAGGCTAGGGGTCTGGGCCAGTTTCCTTGCCTGGCAATGGAGAGACTAACTGGCCATGTGAGAACCCAGGAGATCTTGCACTGGGCAGCCGGAGGGGGAGGGGCAGCCGGAGGGGGAGGGGCAGCCATGCTGGGCGTGGCCCCCCAGGTGGGCAGGACCCACAGGCAAGCTGTCCTTTCCAGGAGGCCTCGCTGAGGGGGAGAGCCAAGAGCAGCCCTTCGCAGCCCCGCAGAAGGTGTGGCTTTCACTAAACCCCCATGTAAGACCCCCAGGTTCCTGCAGCCCTCGATGGGCTTCAGTGACTAATCTCCAGGAAGGTGGTGTCTCCACTAGGGCAGCTGGGGGTGATCCAAGGTCTCTGCTGTGGGTTTTGGGGTGGAGTGTCTGGAACATGAAGTGGAGCCCCTACCTTCTTGGACACAGCTCCAAGAATGGGGGTTTGGGAGGGTGGGGTAGCCATAGAAGGACACCCCATTTCTGGTCTACCCAGCGGGAACTCAGCCTCCTTGTCCACGGCACAGGAGTCCCTCAGCCAAAGGGCCATCTGGGTTGTGTACTAGCAAGAGCCCAGGCGGGAGCCTGAGCGCCCAGTCGGCCTGGCTGCAGGAGCCCGCGCTGCCCTGTCATCAGAAGGCAGCCCTATGCCCGGGCACCTCGGGGGCAGCCCCGATGGCCAGCTTGGCTCCAGCCTTCTTCAGCGTGCAGTCCGGGGCAGGAGGGCGCGGGAAGGACACGGCCATCCAGCTGCGACCGTGCCCTTCCGCAGGACGCTGGCGCGAGCAGCGGCGAGCCCCCGGAGAAGGAGCGGCGGCGCCTCAAGGAGAGCTTCGAGAACTACCGCAGGTGGGCGGGCGGGCGGACGGGCGGGCCGGTCTGGCGCGGGCGCGGCCCACCAGCCGCACCTGCCTCACCTGCGGCGTCCCTCAGGAAGCGGGCGCTCAGGAAGATGCAGAACGGCTGGCGGCAGGGCGAGGGGGACCGCGGGAACACCACCGGCAGCGACAACACCGACACCGAGGGCTCCTAGTGCGCCGGGACCGTCGTGGGGCGGCACGCACTCCCCGCACCTGCAGCGGACTCCACGCCGTGGCTGACCTGGCCACAGCAAATGAGCTGGACTCCCCTCCGTGAGGCTGCCCGCGCACCTAATTTTTAAATGCGCCTCCTATTTTTACTGTACACTACCCTTGCTTGTGGAAATACCGGAAAGTGCAGTAAATAAAAATAACCCGGGAGCGTGCAGACTCGCGCCATTAGAGCCCGCGCCGGCAGGGCGGTGAGCGGACGCAGCGCGCGCAGGGCGGCACCAGGGGGCAGCAGCGCGCGGCCCGCCGGGCCGGGGGCGGAAGCTAAGGAGGGCCACGTCCGCCCCGGTGCCCACTTCCAACATGGCGGAAGCGGCCTCAGCGGCGCGGGGCGGGGTTGGAAAGAGCGGCGAGGGCGGTGGGGCAGAATGTTGCGGACGGTGATGGGCTGTATGCCGATGCTGCTGAGAGAGAGACCCCGGGGACCTGTCCTGAGGTGCCTGTGGGGCTGCAGGACCCGCCCGGAGGCCGCAGGAAAGCGGCGGGCCTGGCCCTCGGGTTGGCGGTTCTCGAGTTCCGGGTCGGGGCCCGCGGCGGCGCTGGGACGAGTGGAAACGGCGCATTACCAGCTGGTCTACACCTGCAAAGTGAGCACACAGGCGGGGAAGACGGACCGCCCTTGCCGCTAGAGGGCGCCAAGAGGCGAGGCTGCTAGGGGCGGGGCCTTCCAGGGGGCGGAGCCTTCCCGAGGGGCGGGGCCTTTCCGGGGGGCGGAGCACTCCTGAGGGGCGGGGCCTTCCGCGGGAGTCTAGTTGCTGGCCTGATGCTGGCCTGATGCTGCCCTGCTCCAGCCAGGTCTGTGGAACAAGGTCCTCTAAGTGCATCTCGAAGCTGGCCTATCACCAGGGCGTGGTCATTGTGACCTGCCCTGGCTGCCAGAGCCACCACATCATCGCAGACAACCTGGGCTGGTTTTCTGACTTGGATGGGAAGAGGTGAGGACACCTGGACTGAGGGTGGGGGGCGCGGGGAGAAGGGGGACACTGGTGGCCTGAGCCTGGGGCCTGGGTGAGGAGCCCTCCCAGCAGCACACACCTGGCCACCTGGCCTCCGTGGGGAGGTGGACCATGGATAGCCTTTGCCGTCACTGTGCTACCCCAAATACAGCAGCTGCCAGTCAGGCCACCTGGGTGGCGCCTGGGGCTCCGCCTCACTGACCAACCTCCGTCCTCTTTGATGGCCTTGCCACTTTCTGGTGTGGAACTTTCTTGTCCTCTGCCAATTTGTGTGCCTGGTCTGCAGCAGCTGGGAGATGTGTGTCAGGCGGTGTGGACTGGCCCTGGCCTGAGGGTCCTGCTCAGAGGCCAGGCTGGCACCCCTGTCTGGGGAGCTGAAGGCTGTGCATGCTGACTTCTGAGCTCTGTATTCTCACGAGGGAGGGTCGGTGACAGCAGAGTCTGGAAGACCTGTGGTGACTTTCACAGAGTGACCCTGCAAGGTCAGCACACCAGGCACTGGGCTGTCCTCCCATAAGACATCACCAAGTAGAGAAGGGGCATGGGCAGGACTGCTGGGGACTGGTCTCTCCGAGAGATGAGGTGGTCTCTTGGCTCCTGAGGTGGCACTTGCTGGCAGCCATGGGTCGTGAAAATGTGTGAGGTGCCTATATGGCCCTGATGCTGCTGGGTGCTGGGCAGCACTCCTGCATCGAGCTGGCCAGGGTGTGCCCTGCAGGGAGCCAGGTACAGGAGTGACATCCCCCCACTCCTGCCTCACAGGAATATTGAAGAGATCCTGGCATCCAGAGGGGAGAAGGTGCGCAGAGTGGCTGGCCAGGGTGCCCTGGAGCTGATTTTGGAGGCTGCAGGGACCCCCAACCCCCCTGCTGCCCCAGAAGAGGGTGAAGGCGAGGATCCCGCCCACCCAGGCAAGACGGAGCAGAGCTGACTCACATGGGACTTCTGCCCTCCAGAAAGATACTTCCTTCAGCCCAGACCTCCCGGACTGGCCTGTCCCCTGTCAGTAAACAGACGTTGCCTGTAGCTCTCTGTCTTTCTTTATTGGAGTCAGAATTATTCCCATGAGCCCCCGGTGCTGGAGGACCCCAGGCTCACCACCATCCATCCTGCAGGGGAGTTACCTGTACTAGCCCACCATAGGGCCACGTTCAGGTGGGCAGGGACTGGACATAAAGTCAGAGCACACGTGGCCCTGCCCGTCTGAGCATCCTGTCACTTGCTGTCCCCTGGGACAACGCTGGTGGCTCCCCTCCATGAGCCAGGGCTGACCTCAGTCCTGAGCCTTGGCCGTAGCAAACCAGGCTGCTCATGGTGGCTGTAGCCAGGATGGGCGCTGGGCTGGGAGCTTGGAACGGAGTGCAAGCCAGGCGGAGGGTCCTCTAGGGGCTACCCGGCCTTGCCATACCGCCTGGCAGGTTGGGGTCTCAGACATGTGGGGGACAGCAGGAGCCCCGTGCCCTTCCTGCACACGTGTGGCTTGTCTCGGCTTTGTTTGACTGCTCAGGATGTTCCTGTTTGGGAAGCGAGCAGACGCAAGAGCAGTCTTGGAGAAACATTCTGGCTGCGTGACCTCCACTATCAATCACCAGCCTCGTCTGGCAAGCAGAGGCTGGGGACCTGGTGGGTGCAGAGGGCTGAGCCCAGCTCCACGGGGACACGCTGTGTGGGAACCTGAGCTGGTGATTAGAAGCTCACGCCTCACCCGTGGGAGGCTGGGTGCATCTGCTTCGTGTGCCCTGGCTCGATTACCCCCATCCTTCTCCTGGCAGACAACCTGCTATTAGGCCCACCAGAGCCTCCTGGGCCATTTGTGGAACCTGTCATCGCTCTCAAGGCTGAGCCAGCCCCACCCCAGCCTGCCCTTCTGTGGAGGGCACTGAGGTTGTAGGGACCAGAGGGGGCTTCCCGGAGGCCTTGAAGTGCGGGAAGCCGCCCCCCGGGGATGCAGACCAGTGTTTGGGAAGGCTCCAGTGCTGGCCACACACCAGCTGTAGAGCTGGATCTAGAAAACCTGCTCCTGCGGGAAACCGAGGCCCGTAGCATGCACTTGTGTATTCACTGTGCCTTTTCTGTGCTGATGCTTTGGCCTCTGGGCCTCACTGTCCCTGGAGGGCCCACCCCCACTGGACAGCAAAGGCTGTGAACCCTGCTTCCCATGTGCTGAGTGGTCTGTGCAGAGCCCACTCCCCATCCTCCTTGACGGGCTTGCACCTGGGCCATCGTGCCGGACCCTCGTCACCCTGGGCCAGGTATCGGCCAACTGGGCAACCTGTGTGCCCAGAGCCCGCCAGAATTCTCCAAGCAAGCCAAGCCTAAGCTGGTTACCCCTCGTCCCTCCTCCCCACGGAAACACATCAGAGGCCCTGCCCGTACCACTCTGCCTTGACCGACCAGTGCTTCCCACGTGGCGTGGCGTGGCATGACCGACCGCATCCTTTCTATGGCAACCTCCTGCTGTCAGCCTCTACACATGAGCAAAAAATGGAGCCTGTTGGGAAGTGGCTGGGGACTCAAGACAGCCGCAGAGCCTCCTCTGGAGGACACACAAGCGCCAGGCCAGCTGGGTCCTGCGGTCAGGGAAGTGCCCAGCCACACTGCAATCACAGTTATTTTTTCAGGTCTTGGCCTTCGCAAGCCCAGCGAGCCACCCAGGACTGTGGGCCTCTGAGAGATGACAGGCCCAGTGGGGCTGGGTGGCAGGACCTTGGGTCACAGAACCCTTGGTGAGCTGGCTCTCTTCACAGCATCCCCGTGCCCCACGGGCGCCTCTCCCTGCTGTGGCCACCTCGCCTTTTCTTCTTTTCTCCCTCGGGTGGAACAGTGCTGACCCCCTGCTTACTGAGACTGCACCCCGCCAGCTCCTGCCTCCAAACCTCCGGGCCAGCTCTTCCCTGCTAGCCTGGGGGAACCATGCCCAGTCCGCCCCTCCCAGCCCTTGGGATGTCAGGCCTTCTGTGGTCCAGGCGGGTGTGTGGGGGAAAGAAGTCCCATAGTCCAGGCTGGTCCTGGCAGCACAGTGGGCACTGGGAGTGGCTACACCCTCTGGTCACTTCCCGTCCCATTTAGAGGGCCTATTTTCTCTGCCAGCCCCTGCCCACCTCCCCTAGACAGCAGGGGAGCCTGAGCTGTTTGACTGGCTCGTCTCCTGGGTGGGGACCCTAGGCGGGCTCGAGATGGCCTGGCCTGGGCCTGCGGTGCTGAGGGCTTTGAGAGACTGTGCCAGGTCTTTAGGACCCACAGGAGCTTCCTGGTGGGACGTGAGCACAGCTGTGGCTGCCTGTGCCCAGCTGCCGCCCCTGCTGCCAGCCCTGGACGGGGCCCTGTGGGGTGCCCGCGGCCCGCACACCCAGCATGCTGCAGGTGCTCTCGGGGAGTCGGACCTGCCTGACCGGGATCCTGTGGTTGGGGAGGAGTCTGCATGGCAGCCACAGGGGCTGCCCAGTGGGGAGGGCTGCTCTCAAGGGCCACCCCCGAGGTGCGTGGCTGAGCTCCCAGCTTGCCCACCCTGGGAAGCACCCTGGGGGCCCTGCCCGGGGACATGGACACAGTGCAGGGGGACTGCTTAACCTGAGCCCAGCCTTCCATCGTCAGTGGCAGCAGGGACCGGCCCCAGATGCCTATGGGTGTTCGGGGCAGGGGCTGGGTGGTGGTGGGTGCTCTGCACATGTCCAGTGGGCCCAGCCCCAGGAAGGCCCACCGCTGCTTCTGACAGAGACGGCACTTGCCTGGCACACTTTATTTCTCAAGGGTGGATGGGGGGCTGGGGGGGGGACGTACCTCTCGGGCTGGAAAGGACCCGCTGACAACACAGCAGAAGTGTGAGCAATAAATACGCACGTACATTCAAGTATGAGGGCTCATCCCCAGAGGCCCGCCTCAGAGTGGTCCCCCGCTGAGCCCAGGGTCAGCCCTCCAGCTGGTCCCCTGCCTGGTGCCCAGGCTGTAACATGGGTGGGCACAGGCCCTCCCCAGGCTTGGGGAGGCATCTGGGAGGGCTGCTGCCTTCCCTGGTATCTGTGAAGGTCACAGGCAGCCCCCGGACTGGTTCAGAAGGGCTGCCCACAGGTGGCGGCCGAGGCCTGTCCAGCAGGGGTTCCATCAGCGCCTGCCCTGGTCTGGGGGTTGGGGGTTGGTGCCCTGTGAGCCAACTCCAATGTGTGGGGGGCTTTTCTCCCCGGGAAGGGGCTGCGTCATCACCCCCAGATGGCGAGGTGAGGGTGCCGTCGCCCACTGAGCTTGGTGCCACCCTAGGCCCAGGCCCCGTCTGTGTTGCTGGCCTGGGGCTCTAAGGCTTGGGGTTTGGGAATGGGTGTTCCTGCCCACCCTTCCCTCTGCTGTGGAGCCAAGGCTGAGCCCTTGGATCCCTGTGGGCTCAGGGCTGCCTGCCAGGGCCAGGGACTATGGGTGGCCCTGGACTGGGCTCTCTGTGACTGCCAACCACAAGGTTATAAGGGGAGACAGGCCCCAGGAAAGGGGTCCTGCCCTGGGGAGTGTTGTCCCCTGCATGGCTACCCCAGGACCAGCTGGGGGACAGAACATGCCTGTGTCCTGACAGCCCCCAGAGAAGACCCCTCTGGGGGCTTGGGAGATGGCCAACTTCACATTTGGCAGGGCTGGACAGTGCCCTGGAGGGGAGGGTCAAGAAGCACCAGGTCTGGGGGCGACATGCTGAAGGCCCAGCCTGGGCAGAGGCAGAGCCAGACCTGCAGGAAGCCAAGGACCGTGGACAGAGGCATGCCCCACCCACATGGCACCTCTGGTCTGCGCCTGCTGCCCTGGGGAGGGGTGTGCCGCGGGCGTGTGCCCATGTCAGCTCAGTGGAAAGGGCTGGGGGCTCAGAGCTGGTTCTCAGCCATGGCTTTGGGAGGATCCAGCATCTTGGGGGCCATGGCCGTTGTGGACAGTCGTGAGCTCCCAGCGTGCAGGATCAGGTGCCCGCAGGTCTGGCTGTGGCAGGCAGCCTTAGCTGGCCCCAGGTTGGCACTGCTGCCGGGGCTCAGGTGGCCCACTGGGCTCCTGCTCTGGGCTCCCAGCGAGGTCCACGCGCTGTTCGTCCATCCGCTTGGCCTGGACCCTCTGGATGAGGCTGAAGAAGTCCTCGTCTGGCATGGTGGGACCTCGGGGCAGCACATCAGGTGGCGGGCAGCGCTGGTCATCGATCCTGGAGGACTGGACAGACACACATGCAGGTTGGTGGTCTTGCCCTCCCCAGGCCCTGGGAGGGGGGCCTGTCCCAACACCCCGAGGTCGGCAGACTTGCCAAAGTCAGAGGCCGTAGGCACTGGCTCAGAGGCCATGTCAGGCCTCCATGTCCACCTGGGAAATTAGCTGAGGGCTTGCCTGGCTCTGGGCTTGTGCTGGGATCCCTGATGTGGACGAGTCTCCTGGGGCTGTGTGCCCCGAGCCTGGGGCTGGCCTGCCCAGCAAAGCAGGCTGAACAATACTTGGGGCTTGGAGTGACCAGGCCCAGGAGACAGCTGCTAGGCGACCCCAAGGCCTGCACCCAAGACTTCCTGACCCCCAGGGACTGACCATGGTGTGGCATCCCTCAGCACTGCCCTGGAACCTGGGTTAGCCCTGGACTGACCCCAGCGGGCCTGTGGGGTGGGGTTCCAGGGCCTGCAGCATGGCGCTCCTTCAGGATCCCCCTGGGGGTGGGTGACTGGCCCCGTGGGCCCCACCCGCCCTGGCATGGAGAATGGTCGGCTGGAGGGGCATCTGAGCTTCTCTGCAGGGTCTGGAGAAGGAGGGACGGGAGCCGGCGGAGCCGCTGGAGCGTGCATGCGAGAGGGTGGGGGGCTCTGGGCTTCCGAGGAGGGGCTGGCTTGGAGGCGGCTCCTGGCCCACAGCCATGGTGGTGTCCCCTCTGTGGGAATGGACATCAGATCTGGAAACCTGCCGGCCAGGTGCGGGGCGGCACATCTGTTGCCCCACCCCTGGCCATTTTCCAGAGTCTTTCTGACCTGGAGACCCCAAAACCCCAACCACTGTGCCAGGCCCAGCCGAAGGGCAGGGAGACACAC